TATACTACTTAGTCAAACTTTTTTTTAATTTATTCCAACTACGGCCCGACGTTACAGATGCTTTGCTGCAGCACCATGGCGTTAACTTATATATAAAAAGTTTAACTAATATATATCGCCTTTTTAACTGTTAAATTGTTTTATTTAAGTGTGTACCACTCGCGTACACCCTACGACAGCTACAGACAGTATTTAGCTATTGAAATTATTTAAATATTAAAGACACTAGCGAAAATACCACAGAAAGAACAATTATATTACTATAACAAATAACAGAAAAGTGGGTAGTTCCGTAAAAGCTGTCGCGCGAAGAATTGACCCACCATAGCACTCGAAACGATCGTTGACGCAGCCCATTCACGGCCCTTATCGTCCCTTTTAATTAGATAACGCAATGTTAGCTCTACATTTGGACTATTTACTTTTGCCCACACTTTACAGAGTACATAGACGGGCGTGACCAAACATTTCAACGCCTCGGAGCGTAAGAGGAAATATCGATCGCGGCTCGTAGAAATATTCTAGTTATGAAATTATTTCACTAATGATGATAGATGTCAAAAATTAAAATAGAAGTAAGATTTTTTTTTATCAAAGCACGTACTTACAAATACTAATATGAATATTATTTTGACGGTACAGATAAAATTGCGTTTAAAATTATGTAAAATAAAATGAATGTATGTAGATATTATTTAGTTCCAATGTACATATATCAAAACAATATGATATTTGAATCTTCGTAAACAGTGCAGTATTTTAGCGTCAACAAGTATTACGCAAAAACATTAAGTACATTTACAAATTGAACCAATTAAAAAAGCCTATTTGCATTCTTAGGTTAAGTTAAAACTGACTTTACATGAAAAATGGCACAACATAATCTATTTATTGAATGTAATATACACACACATTTAATTAAGACTGTTGAATTTTACATTATTTTTCTTTTAAGAGCAAAAATAAACAATTAGGTATAGTTTAATAAACGCCATTGTGAAATATGAAAGTGTTATTTTGGAACCAAGCCGTTCCTTATCTAATATGTACATAATTAAGAACTATAATCATACCAATTATATACTAATTGAATATATGCCACAGCTTACTGCGTGAGTTATATTTAATGTCAATATTTTGCAGATAAAATTCAACAAGCCTTAAACTTTGACCTTAAGAGTTAATTTTAAAACAGCAGAACGTATAATTTTAATAATCAACATAAGCCAGAAGTTATAAAAATAGAGAAAAAATGTACGGTCTAAAATATTTTCCATTAGACTTGGTTTAAATTTTGTTTGCCATTTACAACAATTTTAATTAAAAAGTGTTCTAATTAACGGTGCTTCGACTTATTATGTAAAGTACCTATTTTCTTGACAAGTAAATATTGGTTTCGTAAACATAAAATTTTTTTTTTTTAATAAATAGAAAAAAAAAACAGTTTTGACTTTAACATTAGCGGCACCCACCATCTTTATTCCCCTGTAACCATGGCTAATTGGCAAAGACAGAACAGTACCAGTTGAAGTTAAGGATAAAAAAATATTCGCGTTTCAAACGGTTAAAATGATTGTAATTAACGAGTGGCATTCGCGTGCACTATACATAGATATTTGTAATTATATTTTAATTTTATGAATTGGTGTATAAATATATCACATTTCAGTGTATATAGTCTGTATGTGTGAAACTGTCTAAGATAATACAATATCGCCGATATCTATGTCAATTTGGTTAGGTGAAGGACATTGGCCGAATTGTCATATGATTCTCGCGTGCTACCAGCCAGTATGTAAACAGAACAGAGAGCGCGGCAGCGACCCTTGATCCCCACAGACTGCTTGATAAGCCACAGATAACGTAAGCGACGACAGATTTATATAGGAGCTAGTTAGTGTCCTACCGCATACGTTGAGAAAGATCGCTCACTGACTATGAAAACAAGTATACTCGGGTGCAAAAATTATTCATATATTTTGAACTTAATTAACTTTACTTTTTACTCTGTTATGGGCATGGTGGGGCACAACGAGCTAAAGGTAAGGAAGAAGATGTACCTCGCAATGTACCTGATAAAACTATTAAGAGGATTGGAGAGTAATTCAGTCGTCTTAGGTGATATGGCACTATATGTCCCAGATATTTACGTCTGGAAGCGCCACCAGCCTCCGATGCTTCGCGCCCCAGCCGCAAGGACTAACCTACTTGCCGAGGCACATTCATTGACATAATTTTGAATTACCATTATACATATTTGTTAAAAAATTACTGCTTGAACCACGCCGAGTAGTTCAATAATAAAATGAATAAAAAATAAAAACAATCGATGAAAATTTTTTTTAAAGTTTATTATTTTCGACTTTAACGTTAAATTTTTTTTAACTTTAATATTTTCCACATATTACGCACACGATGGCGTTTTATAAATTAAAATCGATTTTGAATTAATGTTTCCACGCGTTCGTTACATAAAAAGATTATCTTATTTTATGACAGAGGGAAAGTCAAATACATTATTCATATACAACATAACATAACAACAATATAGATGCGCCGCTGTCGTACTATTATTTTGGCTTCGGGTATTATATTCAGAAATCCAAAGACCAAAACGTAATTAGGTACATTTTGTAAGAAAAGTTTATGGCAATGAAAAGTGTGAAGAAAAACAATGAATATTTTCGATGTTCGTTGCTTTTCTTCATAAAAGTTTGAAGTGAGGTATTTTTTTTTAATTTTGGACAAAGTTTAAAGCCTTAAAGCTATTTATTTAGCACTACATTTTCACGAGGAAAATGTTTATGAACCGTACACCATAATATTTGAGTCATGCACCGAATTATTTATAGCCTACACACATCAAACTGTATTAGTGTTTATTTATTTAAGTTGAAGCGTGCTCCAATTAATATCTCAAGGTACGTCGGTTCGGAACCGGATCTCGTAACTGTATATATAGTGAAATCCTTTGATCTGATGACCGCGATAAGCGCGCGAATAAACAAATATGTTATATTTGAAAGCAATTCATGCGACCATCCTTTTCAGGGTTCTGTAGTGAAACGTTTAAAATGTTTTATGTCTTTTTCTTATGATTAGTTAAGTGAGTAACTGTTATAATTTATAAAGCCGGTTTGCAAAATTCCGGCGGATTCCTAAAAACAATTCTACGCGGACGAAGTCGCTGACACTGCTAGTTAATTAAAATTAAGAAACCACATATAACAGGATGTTACTGATAACAGCAGGTAGAAATCATACTGAGAGAACCTTTGTGTGTCTGTTTGACTCACACTTGGCGCCGTTATAATTATAATACTGTTTGTTGCTTCTGTGGCAGGGCAAAGTACTAAAAGGTAATCATAACACAGACGATAATTATATTATTATTATCATTAATAGTTAAATTATAAGTTTACCGTTAAAGGTTATACATATATATAGAAAAATCAATAAAAAAAGGTAAAGAAAATGTATTTTAAAAATAAATACATAGGCTTAATGAAGCTTACTTTAAATTATTATTTGTGTTTGTATCTTCTAAAAATATATAACTACCTAAATGATGGTAGACTTTCTGAAATGTTAGACCGAATGTTATGAAATTGTATAATACCCTTATCACATACGGATATTTTTAATATACGATAAGGGTTGTCATCCCCAAAAACATTTTTTACCCTAATCATCATATTCGAATTTTAAAATATTTTTTTGTTGTGATCACTTGTTTTTTTTTACACTATGTATTCCCAAGATATACTTTATAAGAATAAAAGGTAAACGATAATACAGCGGTTTTAAAGCTTTATTTATAAAGATTAGAGATAAAACAGCTACTACAATATTTGTTATCTATATTCTCTGGTCCCAGCTATCGTTTCGCGATATCCTAACTATAGAAAGCAGATTACGTTGGCGCAGAATTATCAACGTTTCGTAATTACGTAGTCATTTATTGGCTGGAAGAGGTCTAGTTACTAAGGATTTACCTGTTATCTACCGAATATCACATGACTATTTCGCTAGATTATGTTTCGTAACTAAATCCGATTAGATGAACTATTTTTTTGCTTTTAATCCACAGACTAAGACAGGTGTATAACTAAGTATAGTCTGTAATTTACGCGGGTACTACATATTCAAATATAAACTAGATAATATTACTATACATATGTAACATAAATTGACAATATATTTCGCGTTTACAACCGTTTAAGTGCTTTTATACAAATTATCAATCCCTTTTAACTCGCGTAAACGGACAACGCTAAAATTTTAAAGATGCATTTTTCCTTTAAATTAAGTAAAAACCACTTTCTTAATAGGTTTAACGGCAGACATATAGACATATTTCTGTGTGTACCATGTATGTCCACTAACGAAAAATTGTGAAAAGATGGATAAGATACTGTCTGTAGTTCACGCGAGTAGTACATATTTAAATAAAACATTTAATTAAACCGTTAAAGTGTTTTATTTAAAAGATGGATAAGATTGACATTTGGATTGAAATATATTACATTTAGGGTAAGCAACAGTTTTTTATGTTAACAACAAATATTTTTTGTAAAATTTGTTTTAGACGCATAATCAATAAAAGTTGGAACTATAACTTACGACCTATTGGTCGTGAGTTATAGTTATAGTTTGGTTAGTGCCCTCGTTTTACAAACTGCACTTAATATAGAAATCGCCATTATTGTAAGATGGTCTATGTTGTTAGTAGGTAGCGAGTCCTGCCTATCAGAGAATTTTCATTGCCTCCCTTTTTTTTTAATTTCATTGATATAAGCCCTCATGTTCAATGAGATAACAAATGCAATACATTTAAGTAAACAAGACTGTTGCGCATTCACTATAGCAACAGGTGTCTTGCTTCAAGACTCCGTAGCGTAGACACAGATAACTACGTTATGCATACGTCCTACAATCACAGAATCTATTTGAAGTCATCTACGTGGTCTAAAACCACAAATGGAATATATTTTGCATACCTCTCGCCACATTCCCTGGATTGACCGGAGCTCCGTTCACTTTGATACGTCTCCCGTCTGCAGTACATTTTAATAGCATATTTTCAATACGCACTCACGTGGTACCCATTCAACTTCTGATTTTTAACAATTGTTTATAATAAACACATTAGCATGCTCTCGAATAACAGCAGATTTCGTGACGTCAGTCCATTTATAACCAAATCGACACTAAAACTAGTTATCAAGTCTTAAATTTGTTATAAGCGCGTTTTAGAGTTTATCACTTAACACAATGACTAAAAAGGCTAACATACTTTATGAAATTTATCTTTCTTGTGGTAAGTAATCACTTTCAACATATTGGTCCAAATATCACTACGAAGTGTTCGCTCCGCACTACAATCCTAATCAGTCAACAAATTGAAACTGCAACGAAAAATGGACTGTGATTGAACGAAAATTACTAGTGTTGCCTAGTTAGGTAATTGAAATTAACCAGACTTTTACCGATGAAATGAAGTCTGGTCAATGTCCTTCTGACAATGGATTATTATAGAAAATTTAAATTAAATTGACCACATAACTACGAGAAAATAAATGTTCATTTATATAATAATATTTTTTTTTTACGGTTTTAAGAAAAATAAGCAATTTTAAGACATCACATAAAAATCATCTATAATTATTATTTAATAACATTATATAACGTTATTTTGATTGCTAGACATAATTAAAATAAAACCCTTTAACGGTTTAAAACGCGATATATTAGTTAAACTATTAAAAAAATATTCTTAACTTCGACCTGACGTTTCGGATGCTTTGCAGCAGCTGTGGTCATGGCATCCGAAACGTCGGGCCGAAGTTAAGATCATTTTAAAATGCACTTCAACATTTCAAAGATTTTGAACATAGATTTATTTTGTTTAGTGTATTATGCGATCCATGTAAGTATAACGGCTGCAATAGTACGATTCTTAGTAAAACTCAAGTACCTATTTAAGTTCCTAATCAAATTATCTGAAAATTAGACGCACCACGCATTAAAATAAATATATTATTTTTATCTGTGGTGTTTTTAGCAACTGGCAATATTAAACATGCCCAGCGACTCGCTGTGCCCGCCAACTAAAGATCAGTCGCCATTTTGGAATTTGGGTTTGCGGTGAATTTAATACAATTATTGTTAGAATTTGTGAAGTCCATAAAGATGGGTAAAGATAAAAGGGCGGAAACAACTGAAGGTTCCAGTGAGGAAGAATATGTTGTGGAGAAGGTCTTAAACAAAAGAACCGTGAAAGGGAAGGTATGTATATTTTGTTACCGCCGCCGAGCGTTTGCCAAATTATTGCTGTTCATTCTGTTAATACATAAAAGTGGTTATTCTTTATGAAAACAACAAACACATAGCTGTATTCTTTTATATTTTTGAGTTGCTGACCATGTCTCACGACTGATCGGAAGTGATCTCGCTGTGGCGTTATAGTTTGTAAATAAATGGTTTCACAATACACATGGTTTAAGTTGTAGTAATTGCTTAGACAAAACGTTAACCTCAATAAATATTAAAGTAGATAACTATTTTTAACATGATATTAATTTTTAGGGATAATTCTTGAACTGTATTTATTTTAGAAAATATCATCTAAAACGAAAATGTACACCTTTTTCTTGAGTATAATATATAGTATTGTATAACATTAATTTGTTGAGCAAACAAATATTTATAGGACTACTATTATTGTTTATGGTTCGTAATATTTTTATAATACTATAAGCATAGTGACAGGTACTAATTCTGAAATTATACAATTACAATATTACAGACACAATACCTCTTAAAATGGAAAGGTTACAAAGAGGAGGAGAGTACTTGGGAACCAGTAGATAACCTTGATTGTGAGGAACTTATTAGAGTTTTTGAGGAAAGCAGAAAGGAAAAAGAGGTATAGTCTGTTTTAAATTCATATTCATTTTGTATTTAAGTTATGTTTGAGTTTTAAATTGAGCATTATAAATGCCTTGGATCATTTTGTTTGTAAAATTTGTAGCCTCACATTATTTAAGCGTTGTAAGTCTTGGGTTTGAATACCAAAAAAACATGTAGATTAACACATGCAAGCAATATGTTGAACTAAAACAATAACACTTGTCTTCAGAAGCCTAAAAAAACTGAAGAGCGTAGCAAGAAACGCCCTCGTGAGTCTAGTGAAGAAACAAGTCGCAAGAGCAGAGGAACTAGTGTCTCTTCTGTTGAAGAGAACAAAGACGCCAAGAAGGAGAAGAAAGTAGAAAAGGAAAAATATGGTTTTGACAAGGGTATAAAGGCTGAAAAGATCATTGGTAAGGCATTTTGTATATTTTGTTATTGCTTTCAATTTTGTAAAAAAAAATTTACAACTGATTAAGATGTGGCATAGGGAAATTTCTAAGCATTACTTTTTTTTAATCTATAGGTGCATCAGATGCCACGGGGGAGCTGATGTTTTTGGTAAAATGGGTTGACTCTGATGAAGCGGAACTTGTTCCTGCTAAAATTGCCAATGTGAAGTGTCCACAGCAGGTATGTCATCTAAATATCTTGAAATAAGTTATGTTAGTACTGTACAAATATTATAAATGCGAAAATAACTCTGTCTTTGTCTGGCTGTCTTTTTTCCTTTCGAAAACTACTGAACTGACTTAAATGGAATTTGGTACACATATTCTAGAGCCTGAGAAAGGACATAGACTTTAATTTAAAAAAAAAAAGATTGTTAGTTGAAAAGGGGAGTTGGAAAAGGGGAACAATGAAACTTTCTTCTTTGGCTTTTTGGGTATGGGAGTGAGAGTAGGAGTGTTGCAGTAAAGTAGAACTTACAACACTTATTGGCTGCCTTGAAAGCGCCCTTTTAGATGACATGCATTGTGAAACCTTTTGCTGTACGAAAAAAGGCTAGTAAGGGGTTGAATGAAGGATAAAAAGTTGTGTCTTATCATAATAAATTTTTATAGAACTAAATAATATTATAAATGCGAAAATAACTCTGACACACTGTATTTACACATGTGTCTTATTCAATTTATTTATTAAATAAATAAACAGCCTTAATAATTAAAAATTCCACCCAAAGCCACTATTCCACGCGGCAGAGTCGCGGGCTCAGATAGTATTGAATATATTTAAGTAACATGGTGTTTCCTATGTGTCTTTTTTTTCCTCTGGCTGTGTTGGGCAAAAATGTCCCCAGTAACTACCATTCTTTCCATATATATAATTTTGTATTTTCAACATTAGGTAATCGCCTTCTATGAGGAAAGACTAACATGGCACAACCCTCCTGAATCAGAATGACTGACAGCTCGTGCCTGGTAAACCTATTCTGGCTGTATATCTGTGGAGCTGCCACTAGTGATGAACAGCTGTGCCTGAGACTTGTGTATTAGTGTTGTGCTTAATGCTATAGTGATAGTGATCATGGACACATTCTTTATGACTACAATTGTTTTTTCTTATAATAATATACCACTTTGTTGAGCTAAAAATAATTGGTGTCTTTGGTTCTTATGTATAGATCTTATATATTTCTCAATGTCAATACAATTGAAGTTTTAAACTAAAGACTATATTTACTACTAGTACCTCAGATCAAGGGTGTAAAATAAATGGGATCATGTGTCTTATACTGAAATGATTGATGTATCACAGTTTTGAATTGTTAAGACACGTAAAGCTGTGTGTTTAAAAAAATAAGACCCGTATTTCTTTTATTGGTCACTATCACGGGTATCACATAATATACTTATAAACAATGTTATTAAAAGGACAAATGTTGAGGGTATAATTTTTCTTTAGTGACAATTACTATCATGCGGTAATAGGATTGAAATATTATTTAGTTTATATTTTCAAAAGTTGGACATTTAAACTTTTTATAGTCTACAAAATATCCATGTGTAAATGGCAAAAAGTATCTCCAGCTACTTATATTAATAAACTAGGTACTAAGAAAATAAATAACAATTTTGAAATGCTATTTTATTTGAACACAAGTTCTTCTCCACATTGTATACATATATTTTCATAGCTTTCATATAAAAGTTATCGAGTGAAAGTTATTCATTAATAATTGTAAATCTTGATTATTGCATACATCCAACATGTAAATATCATAAAATATACTAAGATGAGATACTAAAAATCCTAAAGTTATAATAACAGATATAAGTAATATTCAAAGCTTAAGAATAGGTGATGTTAACTAAAAATAAAATCTTCAAGACTAGTAAGAATAAAAAGATTAAGTAATAATAAAATCTATGAATAGATACGACTTAATACCAAATGTAAATTAAGTTACGTAAAACTATTTGGTGCACTCGATATCTCGGCTCGAAGGACCTAATTATAATGTGATGTCAATACCTGCATCTGTATGAATATAGTCACATCACGGTATGAGTCTCCACTTCCACGTGTCATCTCTTCTCTGTCCATTTTAAAATGTTTATGCCTGATATTTGTACTCAGATTTGCTTACACCGTTTCTGAAAATAGGTTATAAATAAATAATCATGAATTACTATGTACAGTTTATATGGACATTCTCAAGACAATTCTTTTGATTACTTTTAAAATAATATATTGTTCAGATATACACAGACTAACTTCAAGGCTCTGTTTTTTGGCTGTGGTTGGTCGCCCGACAAGAATGTTGATATTTTTACTTCTTTTGTATTTGATATAACAAAATTCCAGGATAACCACGTTTTAGAGACATTGGACTCGGTGTGAATCGAACCCACGACCACGACATTTTATCCATTTAAGACGATTGCATGAATGATTTTAAGTTTACATATAAACAGACTAGATTATATATACGTCCAAGTTCCAGTTATGGGAAGGTAATGATGATGTAGAGGCATCTTACGTGAGTTGGGCGACGTGCGATGGCGTGGCGTGGACGAGCGGCGAAAGCCTCTCTGTGAATCGCTGGAAGTTCCTTTCCAATTCGCGTTGGTATTCACGCTGTTCGCTGCTGATCAGATTCTTGTTCTTGCGGAGCGCGTCTTGGCACCTTGATACAAATACGGAGTGCTACACTATCTTGATAAATAAACACACTCTATGATGATAAGAAAAGAAATAAAAATAGTGTTAAGATGGTTCCCTATACATTACTAGCCATACATCACAGCACGGTTGTCAATACACCTTTTGAGTTTACGCGACTATTAAAATTGTACAGTGTATTAGTAAATCGTATGTACTTATTTAATAATATATATAAGGCCGCTAGAGAAAGAGTAGCCTAACTGCACTTATATGACTTGAGTTTGTATACTTTCATAGTCTAAAAATGTTAATGTACAAGAGCATAGCGGCCGAAAATTAACATAATTCTTACACAAATAATAGTACAAATTTATTTTTGCCTAAGTTTATTGCGCATTTTTATTTTCCTCCTAATTGAAAATCATGTTTTTTGTTATTAGGCCACTGTGCATCTAGCAGTCTCATATATAATTAGCACTACTTAGAGAAACCAACCAAACTGATTTGGTTGTTATATGTCATTTTTTACCATGCGATTTTTTTCAAATAATTTAATACCTGTTTCAGTAAACTTACTTCTTAGAGAAATCTTTGAAAGCGAGTCGCAGTTTATTGGTGAGTCTGGTCGGAGGTTGGGTGCCCTCCGCGACAGGCGCAAGGAACACCTGAATAATATCATGTACATAATTATTATTTCTTTTATAGCGTAGAAGGTAAATGATCATTTAAGGTCACATGGGACAATTTAACCATTCCTAATATCAATAGACCATTTATCGATGAAGGAAGATGAAACTTCAAGAAACCAAAAAACTGAAAAAATATCCTTCTTTATTATGATCTAAAAATATTCACAACAGTATGTCGTTCTCTTTTAAGATTAACTTGCAAGAACCGAAATATGGTAATTAAATTGATCATCCACACACCAAAATAACGTTTTTTCGGATCAACAGTATACTAATACAATTTCAATAGAGACTTAAAACACAACATATATATCTTAATATGAATGTAATTATCGCACCTGAGCAAGCTCCAATGGCCCCTGATTGACAGTGGTGCCGATACATCCCTGAACCACCATTTGCAGCATCTTGGCGTCTGCCGGTTCTTGGCTCGTTGCGGCGGATAACTCACTTATCTAGTATTTGAAGGTTATTTAATTATTAAACCCTATCCATAAAGCAGTTGAAAGTTTCAAAAAAGAAGTAAAAAAAAATACCCAACCCATTGTCGGTCCTCACTGTCTGATAGAGGTATTTAAAAACATACAAACCTTCTTCTGTATGTCCTCAATGGCCACTTCGATTGGAGACAAGATGATCTGACTCCGCTGCACCACCTGCAAGCCGTCAATAGATTTGTTGAAATCTTTCCTAAAAATATTTTTTTTATCTGGCAACATAATCGCCTGTTTTACCTGTATCCTAGTCTTGAGGTATGGGAAGTGATGTGCCGTGGTGAGGATCGTCTTGCGCTTACACTGTTCCCCGAGGGCGCCGTGCGCACGCCCATCAGCCGTGAATGGGGTTGCGTACATGAAACGTTCTAGGAGATACTTTTAAAATTGATATGGAGGTTGGAAATAAACAAAAACTTAGATTGAAAAATAATTAACGAACAGTTAGTGTTTAGTTAAGGTTTCGACACCACTAAAATTGTGTCCAAATGAAAACTTTTATTTAAGATTTTATTGCACATGATGGCACTATATAAATTAAAAATCTATTCAGGTTGTAAGCATATGTGATCGTAATCAAGTAGTCTAAATTGATTTATTTAAGAAACAATGACTTACTGATATTAAAATTCCTCTCATAGTGTGTAATCCTGGTGCGTAGCTCGTGCGGCTCAAAGTAAGGCTCCACGTAAGTTATCTAAAAAACGTGTTTTTTTAATAAGACGAGAATTAATTTATCATTGGAAGGACATGCGCGAGCTCGGTGTGGTGGATCGGCCAAAATGGCCCTCTTTAGTTTCGGGGGCCAGCTCACTTTGGGTCGCTGCGCCAGCGGAGTAAGTAAGACCAACGAGAGATGAACGAGCTCGTTCAAAGCCCCTATTCGTATTCTACAAATATACTACCTGTATATACGCCTTTTCAGGTTGAAGAGTGTTGACGTCAACCACGTTGGAGTCTTTTATGATGACCACATTCTCGGGACCGAAACGTTGACCGTAAAAGTTCTGAGGACAAGAATCTGATGTAACTAAGAAAACCTAATATTTACAGTAACAAAACAATTATAGTTTTAGTATCTGGAAATATAATATATATTGAACAAACCGGATTAGAATTTAAATTTGTTACGAAGAACGTTAAGATACGCTGTTTACGCTTTAAATATTTACAGTCTTGGGCTCGTACATATATATATTTTTTACTGATATTCGTATGCATGTTACGGACTGTTTCCAAGAGATAAAAAAAGCGGTTTAGTATATAATTACTTCAGAAGCAACACTAGGTAGTTTCAGAATAGAATTCTTGATAACCAATTACCTCTAACCGACTGAATATCTCCGGGAGCTTTGTGAGTGCGTGCTCCTTGTAGATAAACTCTTCACCGCTGAGATCGCCGAATCGCGCGCCGTAGAAAGAGACGCGGAAATATGTTCCGAAAACTCGCTTTCCATGAAGCTGCTCAATCCGACTGAAAGCTTCGCTCAGTTTGCTGAAAATTAAAACGAAAAAAAAAAAACTACGTTAAAAGAAATTGTTCCAGTAGACGTCAAAGTTGGTGAAGATAAACAATACATGCTATTTAAGGTATTATACATACGTTAAGTAGTAGATCTTTTAATTTTATTTTAACTTTACAAATTTCAATACAATAATGAACATAGTAGATGTGATCATAATCTAGCAAATAATGTAATTAAAAATGTAATATGAAAAAGAAGACAAAAATTGTAACTGTAACGGCAAACGACAAAAGCTAAATCATTACATATGATAGTTTTTGTTACCTGTGTATATTTGCCAGTTTCTTATAATCTCTGTTCTCCTCTGCGATAGGAATGAGTACTTTATACACCTCGTTAACGGTCTCATACATTCCTGCGGTCATAAGCTCACTCGCTGCGTGCTCTAGCAGTGCCTACGGTAACGACATAAACCATAAATTAACACGTTTTTATGGCAGGAAAACGATAGGTGAATAACACTAATCATAGAACATAAATAAAGAAATCTTATAGATCTCGCTCGAAGGGCCAGATATTAAATTTAACATTACCTGCAATTCCTGACATGTGAGATGATGGTGAGGCAAGTGCACGTCAGGGCAGCTCTCGTCGAGTGCGTTATGAGTTACTCGCTCGAGAAGGGCGGCGCCACGGCCACTGGAGCGCAGATGCTCCGCTACTAAGGCCGCTCCATGAACCAGGCACATGCCGGCTTCTAAGTGATTTGAACGCTGGAAAGTTACAATTTTTGTAAGACATTAATAAAGAATAAGAAGAATATTCTTGTAGTATGTCATCATTAAAATCTTGTTTCAGACAAAAAATTTCATTATATGATTTCTCACCTCCATATGCTTTTGGGCCATATTGTTCAACCATGTGAGCCTGAGATCAGGGCTGTGCTGGTAACCGCGAGCGATGCGATACATCAGGTCGAGAAGCATCTCAGGATCCTCTTGGAACTCCTTCATCTTTACCGTGTCACTCAGAATCATGTGCAGGTTGAATACTAAATCTTTCACCTGAAACAGGAGGCGGGGACATTATTATTGAATACTATTCTTTAAAAAAAACATACCATTTAAACAATGTACTTCACTCCGTCAGAAGTAATTAAAGAAAAGGTAGTATTACTTGTCTAGATAACACATCACATAACATCTTGAAAAATCCAAAAAATTTGAAAACGCCACCTTACCTGTTCTGGGAAGGCGGAATCCTGTAGATCTTGATCGTGTTCTGCATACATCAGAACTGTCTTCAATGCTCGCCGCAGCGACTCCTCGCTTAGCGTAGTGGATGTGCCCACCAGAGACGATAACGACATCGTCACTTGCATCTTGATGCGGCTGAAGTTCTGCCAAGGTTATTGTTCGTATTTATGAACTTTTCAGAAATACTCAAGACTAAGTTTTATTCATTTCGAATAAAAATTAGTTTCAATATACTGATATTAATTTTAAACCATTATTTCAAGGGATCATAAGAAAATGAGGTATACAGGTGATAGATAGGACGACTACGAAAATAACACAATTGAAAATACACTAATTATTGTACGAATTCAAACCACGCGTATATTGGTAGTACTTACATTGCCCAGGTGGTAGTGTTGTCGCATTAGTGCGTAGAGCGTAGCGGAAGCGTGGGAACGCGTGCACGATGAAAGTGCGGCGCAATGCCGTAGTAGAACCCTACACACACCCGGACCCCACTCCTCTGAGCAGCACGACCAACCCAACTGACAAAAATACCACTTTTATAAACACCACTTGCAAATTCATTTGAAATTATATAGTAAAAGATATACGGTACCTTGTGTATAAGCGCCCGTACAGTAGCAAACATGTGCTGTAATACAGTCGTACTCTGGTTTCTTTGTAACGCGCGAAGAACGACGCCTAATGCTCCACTACAGGCAGCCTGACTCCATTCAGATCCACTACAGGACTGTGAACAAATTTAGTCATTAAAAATATATCGTCGCTTCAATAAAATTAAATAAAAAGCTAAATATGACCGTCTTATCCGGCTTGATGGACCATTGTATTATCATCGAAATCTACCGTTGAGTTCGTATTTGAGTAGTTTTAAAAAATTAGTAGCATGTTACCTGTACAATAGCACACACAGCGTGAAGTAAAGTTAGAGATACTTCAGCGGAGAGCAGAGCGGCTAAAGCGGGCTGCGGACGTGCGGGGGAAGATGGGCGGGAACGGGTACCTCCGCGAGCCCAGTCTTTCCGCCAGCGGTCGCGACCGCCTGTGCGGCCATTTGAACCACCTGACAACAAAGAGTATATTTCAGAGTTATTTAAGGTTAACTATGGCATTAAATTAAAAATCAGTCTAGTAATATCGAAGCGTTAAATAGGTAAACGAAGAAGATATTAAAGAAATATAAAAAAAACGTACCTTTACGCCGCATAATGAAGTCCGATCTCGCCGAACCTTGCCCCAAGATAACGTCTTCCAACTTGGCTTTGATGTCTGTCGTTTTGCGAACATTTTGTTGCGCGCATTTCATTATTTCTTTTCGACCCTATACCAAAGAAGTGATTTAATGGCAAACATTTTGTAATCTCGAAATTTTAATTTTGTGGTTACTTCAAATTAATAACGTCAGCGATAACCAATGAATTTAAAAAATCCTGAAAGGTACCTTGTACTCTTGGCACTTGAAGCACAAATCGATAAGTGCAAAGAGCGAGTGAAGACGGGCGGGCGGTAAATCCGCAACTGCGGTGGAAAGGGCGGATCGGTCCGCCCAACGAAGAACCCACACGAGGCACATCAGTAAGTTACGGCTGGTCTCGCTGTTGAAGGGTGGGCGACCGCTCTGAAGCAGAATAAAAAAAATCCAAGCTCATGTTGATAGTACAGAAGTTTAATAAACAAATCTTATGAAAACTTATGATTGAGGTATATGAGAAAATTACAACTTGTTTGTAACTTTTTTAAAGTTTGCACTTAGTACAAAACAAGTGCTAAAATTTTAATAGTCAATATATCACCTGTTTGAAATCTCCTTCAGGCGACGAAGCTGGATACAGGCTACCAAATTGACCCATTTCGCCGTCCAGTTGGAGTATTTCTATAATAATACAGTAAAAAATATTATATGCCCATCATACAAATTACGTGGATTTGTACGGTACGGTACGGTAAGTCATAATCTACACTGTACTGATTGAGCCTCTTTTGAGATCCAAACTTTATCTATACTTTTTACTTTTTTATCGGCCAGACGTCCTCCCTTAAGAAAACTTACTTCTTCTTCCATGCTACTTTTTTATGATAGAGGATGACAGAAAAGCATGACTGAAAGATGAAATACCCCAGCCACATAACATCTAACACGATACGTTTTATTCCACGCACCTTTTCCACTATCAAATCCTCGATACAGCTGCGGTTGGGCATCCATTACTATGCCCAAAAGGGGCAGGTACAACGACGCGACCCGCGCTTTCAGCTCCGGCTGAGTGAGGCGCGGGTCGGCATCGTGAGCGCTTAGAAGAGACAGCACTGCGTTCACCGCTGCACATTGGAGAACTGGACTTCTGTGGGTTTTTAACAAAATTGGGTAAAATTGCTGTTTTTTTAGTCATTTTACATAACACATAAATAAAGCGCTTTTAACGGTTTAAGAGGCGAAATAAATAAACTAGCTTATTTTTAATGTTATCTAAGGCCCGAATATTTAAATAATAAAAATAAACGAAAAACAATTTTTTTAAAATTTTTTTAGGGGTTTTTTTTTTTAAAAAATTTTCCCCCCCCCCCAACCCCCCCAAAATTTTTTTTTTTTTTTTTTTTTTAAAATTTTTTGGGGGGGGGGGGGGGGGGGTTTTTCCCCCGGGGGGGGGGGGCCCAGGGGGGGGGGGAAAATATAAATTTTTATAAAAAAAAAAAAAAAAAAAAAAAAAAAAAAAACCCCCCCCGGGGGGGCCGTTCCCTGAGCAATTATGTCCTACACGTTATCGTTGATTTTTTTCGACCAATTGATACTTACACCCCACGCGCGATGTAATTTTAACAATAACACTTGCGTATTAAGATAATTATTATTGTATACATTTTCTAACTGAAACTTACTGTAACTCCAGAGCCGCTGTCAAATCAGCCAACATGAGACCGGCCAAATAGTGCCTCGAGCGGAACTCTCCAGAAAGAGAGACGCCGGTGCGGCATTCCGAGGAAGCGGAAGAACGGGCGGAAGGGGCGGGGGAGACGGCTCGACCGGGTCCACTCGGCAGACACAGCGACACGTAGTGCTCGTGCGAACACACGATCCTCAAGAAGGATAACTGTTAAAATCATAATTTTAACATCAATCTGAGATTGAGGAACCAAAGCCATGTTCCTGAGTGTCCATCATATTTGGATTTTCTTAATATTCAATGATATTGTATCAGATTTACAAGAAAAATTGTTTAAATATATAAATTTAATTTAAGAAAAATTGAAAAAAAAAACCTTATAATGCACTAAAGGCACCGCATCAGGCAGCGAAGATATCTTCGCGCACATCTGTTTGTGGTAGCCCCTGATCAGGTTGAAGACGTATCCTCGGTCCATGATGCTGAGCAGGTCGAAGAGGAAAAAGGCCAGGCTGTTGTTTAGACTTTGAGTGAGACGGCTGTTCTTCCCGTATCTGGAAAGATAGGAGAGATTTACAGTGTATTAAGAAACAGGTTAGTTTTATTCATAGACTTGGCGATAGTTGTTTAGTTGAGCATAAAGAGGAAAACAAACTTACTTCGCTATGATCTCAGCCGTCACATTCGTAACTAGCGTGGACAGATCATCTGTAAATTGGTCTGGAAAGCGAGCCTTACGCGGCGCCTCGTGTGCACCACTCCAGTACAGGTACTCCACCATTGACTTTATCATCAGCTCGAAAAGAGCCCTAGAAGTTACAAACGCATTAAAAATAAGCAATTAAGATACGTATGGTACTTCGAGCCGGATATATTTTAATGATAGTACTTCTAGGAGTGTTTTAGAAAATATAAAGAATGCGAACCATGAATTAGTCATAGCTAAGTCTCGAGTAGCACCGCTGGCAACGACCCATTGTAGTGCGATTTCCTCGTGTAAAATTTTGCAGGACCCATCAGTCATTACTGAAAATAGTAAGGTTATGAAGTTACAAAATATAGTATAAAACATTATAAAATAAGTAGCAGTAAAGTGCGATGGTAGTCAAGAAAATTTCTTACCAGAAGGAGGAAGAGGCAACCCGATATCAGTATCGGAAAGCGCCGGTCTCGGTATTCGGCACTGGTAGTGAATGTACGTGCTAAGTAGACTACTACGCCCATGGGCATCGCAGGTACCACAATCGTTCATGTTCTATAGGATAATGGAATCATTACTGCAAGCAAGTTATAGATTCTGAAAAAAAAAGTTTATTTTCTCAATGTTTATACTTACAGTGATGTCTGTGAATAAGTGCGCAAGACATGTAAATACATCCTGAGCAATATTCAGCGTTTGTCCGGCTAGCGACGGTGGCGCCACCAGCAGCTGCAGTATTTTATCACCTACCACTGGTAAGTAGCGAGCCAGAGCTTCTACATTAGCAGTGGGAAGTTCTGTTATGCTGTAATAATTTAGGACATTTAAAAATTCTACTGACCTACAATCTTCCAATATATTATGCGACATCAATGTTTTATCTATGATATAGATAAGCGTGAAGTTCACGTAAAGGAGATGGTATACCCCAGCCATATAACCTCAAAACAAGATTTTTCATTTAAAAATCTTGGACATTCGAAAATCCACAGACTGAAACCTGGTTGGTTAAACCAGGAAAACTGATAATTTCAGAATAATTATAATTCGCTTTTAATAAACATGTTGGAACATATGGAAAACGAACCCATGGCGATTATTAGCTCTCCATTTTACCATTGCACCAATGAACTCGTCACTAGTTCTAGGAACCAACATACCTTGCTCTTAACTCTGCTTCCATATTGGCTAAGCCGATTCTAGGAGGGATGTTTCCCTCTTGCACAGCCTCGCAAGCCATCGCAAATCTTTCTATGTAGCCATCCTGTTGATAATATTTCGATTATACCTATATTTTTAGAGGAAACTAATAGGGAAACAGTACGACAACAAATTTTTTATCCATATACATATAAGTATATTTAAAATAATCAAAAACGTGTGGTAAGCAAGAAAGATTTCGATTGAAAGGAGATAGAATTTTTTGTAACAATTTTTTATTATGTATCTGCTTCTCTGTATAGAATAGATAGTAAAAAAAAATTGCGAAATTTTACCTGAGGATGAACCGTGGTAAAGGCTTCCAGAGCGATACTGAAGATGGGTTTGTGATTGTCTATCCACCTCGTGCCGGGCAACAGCACATCGGGGAAGATATAGGAGTAATTAGGCGGAGGCTCTTCACACATCACCGGGATATTAAACTCGCCGCTCGTCAGCTTGCCGTTGCGGCAGAGGGGTATCCACTGTAGGACAAAAAATAGGCTGACAGTTTTATTATTATATATAATAATAGAGATAAAACTTATATACTAGAATGAAGTGCAATGGGCGGCCTTATCGCTCATAAGCAATCTCTTTCAGGCAACCTAAAATTGGGGACAAAAAATATAGAGAAAATGATATGTGCAAGGTGGGTGAAACAAATTAATATAGATTTTTTTTTTTTGTTTTCATGGACCGTTGCCACGCTTTGTGAAAATTATTAATAATATATCCTAAGTACCATGGTCTTCATTGACCCAGGTCTTCGATGGATATTACAACTAGCCGTAAACACTTACTTAATTCACGTTAACGAGTAATAAAATGGTTACTCACGGTATACCCAACAACTGTTTCAACATTCTTCTCTTGATCAGGTGCGACTGGCTTCCTCTGGCAGGCCACGTGCAAAAACGTAAACAAGAGATGGTGCTGGTCACCAAGACCAGCTGGCAACTTGATCTTTATTTCGTCGTACAGCGATGGGTTCCTAATACAACATACCAAATTATTTTCCACCATGTAACAAAAATTTAAGCTTATAAGGTCTAGACTATTTTATGTCCTATCTTTTTCATTTTGATTAGATATTAGGTCCACAAACTTTGTGTGACAATATTAATATGTCACACAAAGTCGCTTTTTTCTAGATGATACATTTAAGCCTAAATGTGTGTTTTTAATTATTTTAGTAAAATAAAGTAAATAAATTACTTGTTGTGATATAAAACGCTAGTGTAGGCCTCCGTACTGAACTCCGGACAGGAACTGCGTCCAAAGATATTTGGTAGCGCGGCGCTTTGCTCTTCACCGGACATCAATTGTACTCTCACCTGAAATAGGATAGACATTTATATAGGTAAGGGTATAACCAAGACAGAAAAAAGACAGGACAACTAAACAGGCTCAAGTGGATAAGATATGTGCACAGAATGGCAGATAATAAAGCCTGAAGCCGGGACACCGAGGCTGAGCTGGTGGAATGGAGCTACTAAGCGGATGCGACTAGACGGAGCCCCACAAGGGGCTGTACGGCTATTGATGAGACTGAACTTTAACTGACGTTATTATCAATACATTCATTAATATCTTTTCTCTATTATTAATACATATAGTACTATTATATTATTTTTTATTATATTAATGTCTTTGTACTACTTTTGTACATTTCAACGAGAGGACTTCAGCTATCTTTAATGGTATGGTATACGTACGGTGATGTTTCTAGCGGACCCCGTTCTCGAAGTGTAAGCGTTGAAATTGAGCTCTCGGACGCAAACATAGAGCAGGTTCCTGTACTGCTGATGGGGAATCGCAGGAGACACCAGGGGCAGGGGGAGTATTTCTCTGCAGGGTCGCACATTGTCGTCTAAAAAAAGTTTTAAAGCGACAATAATGAAAAGCAATTACTATATGTAGTTTACGCGAGTAGTACACATTTAACGGTTTAAAACGTTAAAACTTTTTTACTTTGACATTAGAGACATCCTGCATCTTTAGTCCCCCGTGACCACGGCTACTCCAAAGCATCCGAAACTTCGGGCCATAGTCAAATTAAATTTGAAATAAGTTTAACCAATAAATATTGCTTTAAACCGTTTAAGAGTTTTATTTAAATAAAAAGTAAGAAAGAACGAAAAAGTCATGAAAGAGTACTTTTTAGATTGACGATAAGTCAATATATCACTAAAACTTAGTCTTCAGTTTTTTCCGTTTTTAAGTGTGCAAAGAGGAAAAATAGGGTCTACATTTTTTTTTGTATTAAAAATACTTTTACAATTTACCCTCTCAACAAAATTTAATTCTAAACATCTCTTATAAGTCCAGTACCTCCACAGGGAGCTAGCTTAGCCAACTCTGGTGTTAGTCCATTCTTGATCTCCTCAGGACATGGCGACACTTCTATCTTCAATGTGCCAGGGATGCATTTGAGCTTTTTCGGAGCTGAGCTGGGCCGCTTGATTTCCGCCAAGAATTTGTAAAGATCTTCGTCTCTAAGTTTGTCCGTTTCCTTAATAAGGAAAAAAAAGTATGAATAAATTGGAAATACACTTGCACACTTAAATAAAAAAAATATAACATTACTATATTACAATATTTACTATTACAAAAGGATAGAAAATATTTTACATTAAAAATATATAATTAGTTTAAACCTATCAATGAATCATTGTAGGGCATAGGTCTTCTTTCGCATTCGAGAGCCTTTTAAGATCTGAAGTAACGACTACCGGAACTTCTGTAGACTCAACGTGGTCTACGAAGCACCGATGGCACCTCAAATGTAGGACTAGTTCTAAACATTCAGGTAGCTTAATTTCTAAGTCTATAAATAAAATACTGGAAATAAGTCTTTTAACGGAATCGTTGGTGTAAAGGTAGCAATGTACTGCAGTCTGTGGATTTCCGAATATCCAAACCTAAAAAAGGTTGAAAACGCACCTTGATTACATGTTATATGGCTAGGTTATTCCACCTACCATCAAGTGAACCACAAGCTTATCAGTCCTCCGAACCTGGGACTCCAACATCTGCAGTCGAGTGCACTGGTCACAGACGAACAAGACAGATTGTAAATATCAAAGTAAATCTACAACTGTTAAAGAACCCACCTGTTTAAAGAAACTGGTCACAGTAATGACAATAGGTTTAAACGTGTCCAAGTTCTGCGCAATGTCATCTGCGTTTTGCGTGTTGGGGTTGCGTCTTTCCACCGAACCCTTGCGTGTGAGGGAACCTCCCACTTCGCCAGCGCGACGCCGCAGCTGTTCTAAGCTGCTGGAAGAGGCTTTACGATCTAGAAAATAACACGTAATATCTTATATTACGTACCACATAAATGTTGAAACACACACACATATATACAAGCTGTTGCAGCAACTTCTTCCGTTAAGAATATTTATTTTGGGCAACCAATTTCGTTTGTGCAAGCCTCTTTATAAACTGACGCGGACTTTTTTTTAGATCATTTAAAGAGAAATCATTCTTTCACACATAGTTTTTGGGCGTCTTGAACCGTTTTCGCAGCGTACGCATCTGGAATCATCAGAGATGAGAAAATCTCCCGATTTGTTCACATTTACCGTTGTATCTTCGCTTCTATTAGTCACAGCGCGATGTTTTATAGCCTACCCCGATAAATGCTCTAACCAATTTTTTCAATTCGAACCCGTAGTTCCTAAGATTAGCTCGTTCAAACAAACAAACAATCTCTTCAGCTTTATATATTAGTATGGATATAACAATGATGACAAAACAGCATCTTAACAAAATGAGCAGTCGATCTATGTTTGGTTTTCGTTGGTCTTGTGGTAGCAATGTATAGCTAATAGTTAACGGGTCGTGGGGTGAAGCCCCACCGGGTCCAACACGTTTTTAATCAATTCATCATCATTATTTTTCGGAAACATCTCTGGCTAAACCGCATTTCAGTTTCAGTCAGTGGATTTCGATAGCCCATCTCTATCATACGAGTATTGAGAAATTTAGTCTAAAACCGAAACGCGGTTAGTTTGACGGAATTACGATATTCTTACCGTCCATTTGATGTCCAGATGTTCCAGACGAAGTATAGCATGTTTCAGAAAAATCATAAATTGATTAGCAACGTGTTCGAATCGAAAAAGGAACGAAAACAACGCCTTGGTTGTTTTCGTTCCTTACATATATTTGGCCATACATAACTACCATGGTACCATCGACCTATATAATTTCTGCAGGAACTAATAGCGTGTAATATGAGTATGAAACTTTAACAAATGGTCAAGTCAACTGAAATTTGCATTCATCCTAAACTTGGCTTACCTAAACTGTTCGTATGGGAGTTGGTACCATCCTTCTCGGTGTTAGCATCGCGTTCCAGACTGTTGGAGCCGGACAGGATGTTCAGAAGGGAGACAGCGCTCCACGCTAAAGGCATTCGGAACTTTCCGAGACGCGAGCAAGCAGCTTGAGCGCTCGCGCGAACTTTCTCACGATTCTGTGTGGAAAAGAAAATTAATCTTTTATAAAAAAAGCAGTTTAACTATCAAAAATAATATATCTATACTAATATATAAAGATGTAGAGTCCGTTCGTATGAACGCGCTAATCTCAGTAACTTCTGTTCGAATTGAAAATTCTGTGCGTTTGTGTTGGCTAGAGCATTTCCCGAGGAAGGCTATAGGCTATATAACATTGCGCTGCATCTAATAGGAGCGAAGTAACAGCGGGAAATGTGGAGAATACCGGGAAAATTATATATCTTTATGTTCAAGATACCCAAAAAAAAAGTATGAAAGACAGAATTGCCTTTAAGTGATTGAAAAAAAATGTCCGCGACGTTATTTACCTATGTATTAAGGTTATCTTGCAAGAACGACGGAACGCGGCCGTCTTTGTGGGTAATAGCTTAAATTTATTAAGATGAAGTAGGTTTGTGAAAAGAAATAAGCCCTAAATAACTATTATACGCGAACGAAATCAGTGACACAGCTAGAACATAAGCCACAGCTCCACTATTAATTCTCTTGTAAGCTTTCATAAATTCAATATAAATAAATCCCTAACAATTATTTCAAAACCTCACCTTATCGTCCTTAATATAAGGTTCAATACACTCGTTGACGTCTCCTTGAAGCACCTTCTCCACTCGAACGACCAAAAAGACATCGGGGGAAGGGTTCAATATGTCGAACACTGCGCTCCTGCAGAGCGTGGATAGGTCCGCGTGGGGAACGTGCGCGGATAGCATCTGCCTCGTGCACTCAGAGTTCAAGTTGAAATAGAAGTTCTCCGATAGCTTTTTCTTCTCCTTAGCGTCGTACAAGGCCATGGACGCGAACAGCGGTTCTACATCGAGTTCGAGCCTGTTGCGATTAGAACAAAGAGATTTTTTTATGATACAGGAGAGACATGTGACCCTATTTACTTAGTGGTAGTAGAAATATCCCCGTCATATAGCATCTAAACAAGATGCGCGGTCGATATATTTTGGCTTTGGATATACATACTACGTTAGTACTCAAACCGAAACGCGATTAAACTTCAGATTGTGAGAGGAAGTCCAATATTAATTATACATTGATATAATCTATATATAATTATAAACAAAATAAAAATTAGAAACATAGTGGAGCCGATGGGGATCGTAACCAGCAAGGAAAGAGATGACTTTTCAATTATTGATCTCATAAAATTTTCGTTTGCCAAAACGGATATGACAGGCCTTTATTGTATTTTTTTGCAAATAAAAAAAAGGTATAGCTACATGGGACATTGATTTGACAAATCACTCTTGTGAGGTCATATTAGAGAGATAATTTCTATTACAGATGATGTAGGTACGTTAAGTATATATTTATTTTTAGTTATTATCAGTTTCAATTATAAAGCACTACTTATATATGTAAAGACCTTTAAGACACTTTATGGCTTGTCTGCCCTATCATAAAAAATCTTACTTGAGCTGATGACACACAACAAGTATCCTATGCCCCATAAGCTCGCAGGGCATCTCGGCAGCCAGACGTCGCTCCACAGCCTCCTCTTCATCCAAGTATGGAGCATAAAGGCCCAGGAGATCAGACTGTCTATTTTCCAGTCTAGCAACATCACATAATTACACATTAGTATTATGTTTTTACACCTCTGTAGCTAAATAGTTAAAAGTATTGCTTAGTTTATCGCTAAAGGTCCTGGGGATACAACTGATTGTATCGGTAAAGCAAGAAGTCTGATCAAGTACTTGCCTATAAATAAAAACGATCAGTGAAAGGGCCACTGATATATGTTCGGCCCATTCCCCTTGGGGGGAAAACGAGACTTCGCTTTTATGCATGAAAAAAACACACACAAACTTACTAATTACGCACCCAAAATATATTATGTATTAGTATTGATTCACATAAGGCCCAAAATACAACCAGTAGAATCGTAATGTCTGCTATAAGACTTTTAAAAATTCTCACCTTTTATTCTCATTAAGAGCATCTATTTGCTCTTGTGGTCTTTTATCGAAGAGGTCCGGGAGTAGAGGATCCGATGATGAGCTACGTAGATCCAAACTGGCCCAGGACCCTTGCGGAGTAAGGGTCTCATTGCAGGATGACGACGATGAAATAGATGCTACTGACTGACGGCCACTTGACGGTTGAGATTCAAATTGAAGCGAGAGCTGTAGACATAGGACGAGTAGCTGTTGTAGACATAAGATCATATAAGTCTTGTTGTTACTTGCAGTACATTTTTGTATTAGTCACTTATGGGCACACAACCTGTTGGGACGCCAGTTCCTCCATAGACGTCGAGTGTTCGGCATCAATTTCATAGTTCTGTGGAGGTGCTAATAACAGCCTATCCAGTCTTTCTGCTAATCTCTCTCTTCCATAAGCAGATCCTGAATAACTTCTGTACTTATACTCAACAACAGTGTAGTCTGATGTGTAGCAACTTATGCAGTCACGGACAAACATAGGAGCTGTTGTACTGAAATTACATTAGTTTATTGAGCCAAAGTTCTCAGAATATATCATAATAATTAATGTCTCTATTCAAACTTAATAATATTGTCAGTTAAAATAAGAGCAATTTTTTTAACTACATCTTGACCTTTCAGGTGCTTTGTAATAGCCATTGTCACTGGGGGACCAATTAAACAAATAAGTTTAACTATACATTTCGCGTTTAAAACCATTAAAAGTGATTTATTTAAACATGTACTACTCTCATTATCTGCAGACACCTAATATTGTGCCTACATTCATATGTTTTTATTATTCAATCATTTAAGGGGGGCATAAAATAAATTATTAAAACAGTTGTGAGTTGTAAAACAAAATGTGACTGAATTTTCGCAACAACATTCATAACATCTATTAACATATTAAACATACAAATCTTCATCTGGCAGGACATGTGTAAGAGTCCTTATCTTCCGAGGGACTGTCACAAGCTCTATGTCATTTGTGGGATAAGCAAGTGGATCGCCATCTCCCATCATCCTGTCACACACATCCTCATAGTCTGGTGGTTCAATCATGTCTGATAATGATATCTGTAATATTATGATAACTATTTACTATTTTTTTTAATTAACTGACAACATTTGTACTTACTAATAGTAGTAATTACTAGCTACTGTTAGTAACTTTGTGACAAACAAACTTACTTTTTTTGAAGGACTCTTAAATATTGTGTTCTTAGGGGCCCCCAAAATTCCACCCGGGTTTTTTGGGGGGGCCGCCCGCCCCCCCCCCTTTTTTTTGCCCCCCCGGGGGCCCCCCCGGGGGGGGAAAAAACCCCGACAGTAACTTATAATATTGAAAATGCATACTACTAAAAATGTTGCAAACTACCATCCAAATATGGCTGGAGTATGTCCTCTTTCTATAGAAAATAATAACTATTGCAAGTGAATAGAGTTTTTAGTAAATACAAGTGACATGAAGTGAAGGTGACAAAAATATTTTAGAAAAAAGAAGAAATAATATTGTAAAGAGGCATAAAACTTTAATATTTGATCACCTTTTAAGGTTTTTAAAAAAGCTTTTATTCTCTTATTTATCATGTCTTAAAATTTTACTGCATTATATATTCAAAAAGGGCTTTCTAATATGACTCTTGTTATATGTTAACAAAATATATAGTACATAAGTATAATGTATTCTTAGTCTGACTATAAAGCAATTGAAGCAATGAGGGAAAAGCGATCTATATAAACAAACACAACACCCAATAAGGAACATAATAGATGACTAAGAACTAATTATTACAGAATAACAGTAATTCCTAACAGTGAATCATATTTTATAACTACTTACTGAAGAGGAGCAACCAGAAAGAGTCCCAACCTTTGACTGACTAGCATAGACCTTGCGAGCGTCCCCAGCATTCCTATAAATAGGTAAAAATCAATGCATTTATTAATAAGCGGAGTTCATGCATCGTTAAATTGTTACACCCATACGAGAATTATGAAGCCATTTACCCGGAAGAATTTTGATATTTACGTCCGAGAGTCATCTAAATCGAGAGCTGTAGGGTTGTGGTGATCGAAACTGTTTATTTTCAATCAATATTTCCACTTTTCAAATGTAGTTCACACACACTTTTACTTAAATCTTTAAACTACAAAAGTATAAACATCACAAACATAAATTGTTTTGTTTGACATTTGAAATAAAAAAATATATAACAGATAATAACTGTCAATTGTCATAACTGTCGGGTGAAGTTGATGTACTGTTAACTTCTACTGCTAAAAATTAAGATTAATTAAGAACATTATTAGTAAAAATCACATGAATCAAACTGAAATATAGCAAAATAAAATTTACAAATTAAACAACTTTACAATATTGCATTTTTTATTTAAAGACCTTTTTTTGAAGTTAGCTTTACGTTAGAAGAAAATGGTTCATAACCATTTTATATTATTCGTAAAGATAACTTTTTATTTTCTAAACATTAATAGCAATACTTAATAGGTCACTATTAATGGATTATTTGTTTTGTCATTTTTATGAATACAGCTACTAGTTCAATACAATTTTATTCATCCATTTTTAATTTAGGCAAAACCTTTGAGCTGAAACACGTGTTTGTCCCATGTGATTACTTTTATACATTTTTGAAATCATGGACGAAAGGGCAATGTTAATCCAGAGGCTTAATTGGATAACGCGGCTTCATAGACACGAGACCGGGCACGTTTCGAACGCCTTTTGTGACGAAATAATGAATTCGAAAATACATTTGTTGTTTTTGAGAAGAGTTTATGGAACATATTCGTTGAAGAATTTATATTTTCTGTTCAAATTGTTCTAACAAAGTGAAAGGGATTTCTCGGGATAAAGAAATACTTTATTTTAAGTTTAAAAAAGCATTAATGTAGTTTTCTGAGTTTAATAATATATGTTTGTACAGTAGTTAGTTTTAAGTCTTTAGTAAAAAAATAAAAAAAATTCTCTAACCTTCATAAGTTTGGTTTTTATTCCTATTAGTATATAGAGGATTAATTATTATTTTTTCATTTATTTATTTTTATCTACCGCTGAGTAAATCCGTGTTGAGTTAATTGTTAATTGTAAGTAATTACAGGATCATACCCATATACACCTATCCTTACCATATATAAATGGGACTGTCGACTTTTTGCCTCGGATGTCTGAAATCGACACCTCTGCACGTCCCGACAGCCAGTACCTCCGTGCGAAATTCTTAGCAGATTCCGCCAAGCTTAACTCCTTTAAGATTTCTTTTGTAAACTGTTTGTGTGGGATAGTGTACAGTACTGAATTTTTTGTTAAGACTTGTTGAATTGTTGTAACAAGTCTTACCGTTAATTAAAGCAAATAATAACAGTTAATTTTAGAAAGTCACGTTGACGTATGAACAGGACAGATCAATTATAATGCGATGTTATACATATACGAGAATAACCTTTTATATTTTAAAAAGGAACAAATTAAGTTTTTTTAACATAATTGAATGTCTAACAAGATAATCCTTTTGAATGGGTCTGGACTTAAAATGAGTGAGCGTTAATTTAATACGAAGTTAAATAAAGGCGGTCTCCGCCCAATTATTTTTAACATTGTTGAGAGTAGCGATTAAAATTAAACTTTTACTAATATTTTCTTTTTGAACATTTCCAATTTGCAATTTACGCGATATAAACCATAAAACATTTTTTTTTTAAACTAAAAACGTATATGTTTTTTCTTATAAATAGTATGTTAAAGAATGGATCAATGAAACGAACACAAAATAGTGTTCGCCCCAAGCCCCACGAGGGGCAAACGGGATTCCACTTATACAACTTAAGTGTTTTTGGCCTACTTAATATTTATTAATTAATATAAGTGTCGCGTAAGTAAGTAGCTATATGTCTCTACTATTTTATTAAGCATGAACAGAGATTATCATAATACTTATTGCGTTTCTGCTCTAGAATTAAAAGCCTTACGCAATTAGATAAAAATAGAATTACGCTGAAATGAATAGAGATAATGCATATGCAATCGGATTTACGTGCATAACTGAATATGCGTTCTTTCCGACTTTATGCCGTTCACGATAGAGCATATTATTTCTTATTGAAGGGCTGAATTGCGCTAAATGGATTAAAGCGTTATAGCTGTGTTGGGTTGATAAATTTCGTGGTTCCGTACATGAATGTTTGTCACTGTTTATTATAAACATTTTTTTTTATTCGCAAACATTTCTTGATATATCAAAAGTGTGTTAATATAATATTTTTAATTACTATATTATTATTGATTTGATTGGAAAGTTACGATCTTAAAACAATGGGTAACAACTCTGCCATCAACCAGAGTTTAAACAAATCTTTCGTTTGTTAGGTATTGTCTGTAGCTTACTTGATTATTTCACATTTCCATAAAACACTTTTAAAGGTTCGAAACGCGAAAGATAAATAAAATTATGTTAAGTATACGACACGATGTTTCGGGGGGGCTGACGACGGAGAGTGTCGTCATAATATGTTAAGTATAATTTTCCGCGAATTAGACTCTTAAATGGTTGCAGCACATAGTAGTCTAGTAGACACAATGTTTTAAGCTACTTGCTATAAACTTTTGAGCGTTCCTTCGCGAAGGCTAGCCTATTCCCGATGCCATCCACTCTCATAGAGAAAACTGAAAAACCTATTTTAACATACCGACCACCCAAAATTTAAAGAAAGTAAATAGCTTTACCATGAAATTATATATATAGCATACCATGAAAGCAATTTTATTTACGAAATACGGTGTCTCTTTTTTACAACTTAAATTTAAGAACTATAAAAATAATATTTATTTTTCACAAACACGGAACCCTACATAAATATTAGAGTCTGCATTTCGACCCGCCCAGACGTAGCTACCCTCAGTATTATTAGCGTACCGGCGGCGGATACACGCCTAAAAATCGTTACCACATAAATCCTTTATAAATTTATTGCATAAATCAGTCATATTTTTTTTTGTTTTATCTATGACCAAACTAAAAGACTTTAGAAGTGAAGTTTCTATTAAATTTCTTTATCTCTCGACTCGTTTGTTCCCCTTTCTTTAAGATCAGCTGGAGTAAACAAGTGACAACACAGGTTCTTGACATGATTTTATACGATGTGAGTATATTATTGGCCAGATGATGTTTGATATTTGAGAAGGAAAACATGAAGGCCATTTAAGTGTTCAGCTTGTTTATATTTCCGACTTCCAGATCTATTATGCTTTAAAATTTAGCTTAAAGTACTTCTAAATACTGTCTATAGTTTACGCGAGTAGTACACATTTAAATAAAACACTATAACGGTTTAAAACGTGGTCACGGGGAGACGGCTGCTGCAAAGCATCCGAAACGTCGGGCCGAAGTTAAAAATCATTTCCAAATAAGTTTAACTAATATAGCGTGTTTTAAACCGTTAAAGTGTTTTATTTCAAGTACTTCTTAAGATGGGTTGCTTGTATGGCTAATAATAGTCGGTCGATCCTCACCGGGTTCAAATTTATAATTGTTGTCTTATAATTGTCTGAAACAATTTGAATTTCGTCTGGAAATCTTGATATTAAATTATTGGTAGGTAGATCGCAATTTAATCCGGGTCACGAACCACTGTCTATTGATGAAAAACTGTTGTCTTTGGATTTACGAATATCTAAATCCCAAGGAGGTCGACAACGAATCTTGTTTAGATGTTGACATGAGTATGGTGGAGTTATGTGCTTGTCTGTTCTCCTTTATTTTAGGGAAAACGAAATAATAATTATTAAATAAAAACAATATACAATGGGACAAAATACAAGACTGATTGGAAAACCAGCAACACATTTATATTCGTCCTATGTAAAGAATAGAATATAATTTAAGAGGAGACGTAGTAGAAGACATTTAGGGTAATTACAATAATGCTATATTTTACTCATTATAAACAAGGTAACCGGTAATTTTTTCTTGATATTTGTTAAGAGCAATATAGATCCATGATGTCCAAATTAACCAAAATTAAACGTCAGTCAAATAATTATGTCAGCATTGCAGGTTTTAATCGTTAAGTAAGTTTTTAACTTTCGTAAACTATATAAATAAGACACATTGACCGTTTAAAACATGATATATTTTTGTTAAGCTTGTTTGGAAATTATTTTAACTACGGCCCAACGTTTCGGATGCTTTGCAGCAGCCGTGGTCACGGGGAGACTAGCGATGGATTTAAAATATATCAATGTGTAACTACTCGCGTAAACCACAAACAGTATTTCGTAAAGTATACGAACAAAGTACTCAGTACCTTTTACTTGTCCAAAGTATGCATTTAAGCAAAAAATGAAAGAAATGGATGCGTGAACAATGATGCTAAATGGAAACTTACAGCCTATTTAAGAAACAAAAGATTTTCTGGGATTCTCTTGCGTTGAAACTTACGTTTACAGAAAAGAAATTTTACCTTAACTTTAGATGTTGGTCAATTTTCATAGAAAAAAAACAATCGAAACTACAAAGGTCATATAAATTAGAATACTATTAGTTCAGTATACTAAAGTGATTATAAATTTCCGTTAAAAATCAGTTAAAATCGCTGAGATGAGAATTCCGATTCGAAGACACATAACTTAGCTCGTTGGTTTAATGGTAGCGATGTAATTATTAACGGTGCGTGGGTTCAATATTATTTCAATAATATAACAATAAAAAATAATGTATATATTTTTTGTTTCGTCAGGAAAACTGTACTTTAAATAGCATATAAAATTCCGTATGGGGCACCAAGCACCGTGAAACGTGAATTTCAAGTTTACCTCTTTTTTATCTGTGAAAAAGAGGTAAACTTGAAATTCACGTTTCACTTTTAATCTGTGAACAAGTCGTGTGAACCGTCCAAACCAAGTCAACGTTTGTTTCCATGATTGTGAAATGGGAAGACTAAGAGCGTTGTAAAGCCGATTTGTGACGTCATACAGCCGTTTGACGTAATAGCATACAAACATCCCGATTCGCGTTCATTCGGGGTTTCACTTGGCATAAGATATGAGTGATTAGAGTCACGGTCGTTGCCAATATTAACATAGCAGATGAAACAATATTATAGAAAGTAAAAAATCGACATCTTTAAGAATGCATGATCATGACAGAATTTATATTATATACTAGCATTATAAATGCTTACGTTTGAACAATTGAGCAATAATGTCTGTAGTTTGTGTGAATAGTACCTACACATTTAAATAAAACAATTAATAGGTTAAAAACGCGAAATGTATTGATTAAACATATTTACAAATTATTTGAACTGTTGCCCGACGTTTAGGATGCTATGCAGCAGCCGTGGTCACGGGGAGACTAAAGGAGGTATCTATCTGAAGGGTGCATCTATTGTCGATGTAGATTTACTGATTTTAATATTTTTTTTTAGAATTCTCATAAACTTAAACTTGTATATTAATGTTAGTCACAATTACAGAAAAAAACCGACAACTTGTTACTTGTACTTATAAAATATGTACCATGTTTCCGGGGGATGGCGGGAGAACATAATACATAACATATTTATTAATGTTATGGAAACAAAGAAACAATTCTTAAAATTACCTACAGGAAATCTTACTTCCGCACAATAAGGATTGTAATGGTATCTCGAGGAAAAATGGAGCCCGAAATAATGATGTATTAATAAAATTCCCTTACACGTGCCCTCTGCCCTGCACGTGGTTACAATGACGACATTAAGAGAGTCACATTACGGCCTCTGCATATTCTTGAGGACATTCGCAGACACGATATTATAATTACTACGAGGCCGATAGAGACAGACTAGCCTAACTGCAATTTTATGATTTGAGTTATTTATATTTTCATAGTCTAAAAACATCAATCATAAGAGCACAGTGACTGAAAATTGTTAACATAATTCTTTCGTAAGTAGTTGTACAAATTCATTGTCGTCTAAGTTAATGTTGCATTTTTATTATCCTCCTTATTGAAAATCATGTTTTTTGTTATTATACCACACTGCTTCTAGCAGCCTCGCATATTAAACATTTATTCCCTTCTCGCAACAATATCTCAGGTCACAGATGGACGTGAAAATTAATAATAGATTATTATAATTAGCATTGACGCATTATTCTAATTTGAACATGGTTATTCAAAATGGGGAACAACTTTGATACAATATATTTATTAACATACTTTGAAGTTATTGTGAATGCCGGTTCAAGTCCCGCCCATGTCAATGATTTTTGCAAACTATCTAGATTTAAATAAAGCGCTGTACCGGTTTAAAACGGGAAATATATTAGTTAAATTTATTTAATTCTTTTAACTAGGGCCTGACGTTTTGGATGCTTTGCGGCAGCCGTGACCACGTTGTGTGCATTTGTACTACTCGCTAGAGACACTATTTTATTGAAATATATTCCTAATTTATTTTGTACTATTCAAGTTATGTCTGACTAAAAATCTTAAGTTTTAACAATTGTTTTGCGTCTTGCTACTTTAAGCTGCTGTGTATGCGGTTATCTTTATTTACAATGCTGACATAATGTTAATAGTTTTTTGATTATTATTATTTATTAAATTACTAAACGTTTGTATAATTCAGTCTAGACCATGTGTGCATTTTATCGCGATACATTTCACTTATGTAAAATAACTCTTCATATATTTTGGGGATTTTCGAATTTCATTAAAGTCTGTTGAAAGTACTAAAACATTTGCCACACAAGTTTTGTATATTAATAAAAAATAATTGAATTAACTGCTTATAAAAATAAATCTTAGCTACATTAAACACTTACCATTTCCATGCTTACATAAATTCGACCTAAAAAATGTATCGCTTCAATTATCAGAACTAAAATAAGCTCTGTTACTTAGAATAAAAATAAATGTTTGTTTAATTAAGGAAATGTTTTAAGCGGCTAATTGGCGTATATATTCACGGATTTTCCTACAATAAAATAACGGTATTTAACTTATAATAATAGACAGATTGAAACAACCCACCCTTAGAAATATGACCTTCAACAATTAATTGCTATTTTATCAACAATCAAAGGTTAAATATTTACGTTTCATAATTAGACATTGGTGAGCAAAAATAGATTTTTCACGAGTCTACATAGTATTCGTCACTTGGACCACACGGTGTTTGAAGGACGGTTATCTGATAAGCCAATTGATGTTTTATTTTTATTGCCTTAGAGTCGGAAATGCGAGGGTGATAGGAGATGAGGTGTGAGGCTGTGCGGTGCGGCGATGGCGCGCGCAGCATCTATTCGTCTAGAGATGGGAAAGCGTCGATAAAATTTCATTTGAAATCTAAATTACACACTATCTTCCTATTGTTGTTTAAAATTTTTACCATAAATATTTTTGGGGATAAATCACATTTCAATGCATTTCGCATGCCAGTGTGCCAGATGACAATTCTGTAAGGATTTATACATGATTACATTGATAAGTAGAATAGCAAGACAGATTTGTATAAAACGAGTAATAAAAAACTATGTATATGCATATATTATATTAGCAACTGGAGAATGACAACCCTGCGGGTTTCTATTTGAATATTTCCAAAATTTTCTAAACCAACAGACTCGTTTTTCGAAAGTAAAAACTTCGTAATTCAATTGATGCGCTTTAAGTTTAGTGTTGTTTTGTTTTACATCAACTCAATAAAAACGACATTTTATACAAAACATTGCTTTTCCATTTACGCAGCACTGATTAAGAACATTTATGCACGCTTATCGATAACAAAAGACAACACTAGTACCTTCAGTATTCAGTCAACTCATAGGTTTCGTGAAAACGGACTCGTAGTGAGTTTGAATCCTTATAAAATGGCCAATAAATAAATAGACCAGTGCATGTGTATATTTTAAGCATGGGTGTGGATACAGTGCCTCCTCAGAGAGTAAGTAGTGTGTAATTTTATGAAATGCATAATACTGTTAATAGTTTATTCAAGTTGAAATAAATTCCGTAACCAATTTTAATGGCTGGCCTGCATGCATATATGACAGTCTAAAAACAGTTGAATACGATATTTTCCACTTAATAGTTTTTCAAGTGAAGTTACAGCTAACATATAGCCACATAATAACTGCTATCTTTATTTTTCAAAAGCGACGGACTACGGGTTCGAATTCCGAGAATGTAATATTTGAAAATATTAAATGTTTTTATAATATAAAAATTATTTTTACCTAGTAAACCACAACAAATATATTACTAAACTGTCTTGTATTCTCATTTTGTATTGTATACAAAAAAATAAAAATACGAAATAAGCATCTCCCAACAAAGATAATGGAGATTTTTCTTTTTGAAGAATTATCTAAATAAGAATTAAATTCGAGGGCGTTTACAGGCTAACACAAGTAATATGTTGAGAAAGGTCAAGTAAGATTAATCTTTACATTCCGAAATACACATGAAGTAATGATGCCTGAAGGGAAGTATTTTTTTTTGCTTAAATTGTATATCAGGCCGCTAGAGGCACAAAATCATGTTTTCTGGCCTAATAACAGAAAACATGATGACTTAGGCGAAGGAACTTGTACTATTATTTGTCTAAGACTTATGTTAACAATAAAAAAACATGTGAACAAAGCTAATATGGAATAATTAAATTTACTAGTTAAATTAGTCGCCTGATATATTTAATTTAAATGTAATGTCGACCTATTTTTCCGAATGCAAAATATTTTCATTGAAGTTCATATTTATATAACCTGTTGTTGACATCAAAAACGCGAACTACAATGCACTTGCATTTGGACATTATCTAAATAAAGTAATATAAATTGCAATCGTATGTATAATACATTGCCAGTTGAGGTTTTAAATTTACCGCTAAGTACATTTTAAAATTTATACATTTTAGATTGTCTCAAAAGGCGTATTATTGTCTGAACGATTTCTTTAAAGACCGCCGTAAGGCCGTAAGGCAGTAATACGAATTGCTCCTTAGGTTAATAAATTCACACAAATCTATTAGTTTATAAGACATGTTAAAAAAAGCCGGACTGAGTTTCTTGGGTGTTCTTCTCAGTTATGTTGCTCTTTTGAACACTCTGTAGAGTCACGATGAGCAGACCAATAAAAGATTTTTGACGAAAATAAATAAATTATAAAAATTTAAAGAGACTATTTTATTTTATTTTTTATTTTAATATACTTTTTATAATAAATACCGCCTCTGTAGCCGAATGGTTAAACATATTAGCTAGCATTGCGATAAGCACGAGAGGTCCTGGGTTGGAACCCCAGGGAAACAAAAATTGTACCGGTCAGGCAGGGCACAGAAGTCTGATCAAAGCCTGTTAAAGAACGGATCAGTGAAACGAACACAAAAATATGTTCGCCCCATGCCCCGCGAGGGGGAAACGGGATTTCACTTTTCTTATAATAGATTATGTCGCTTTCTGATTCGGGTTTTCAAACTTAAATGAGGAAATTAATTTTGTTACATTTAATTTGATTCAATATAAATATCTTCCATATTATTTATTTCACACCTCTTATGGATTCCGTCTCGCTATAGTGGAACATACATATCACAGTCTAGCAAAAATATTATATGTACATTTTGGCTTTGCTAAAACAAGAAAAATGTTCGTAGCAAAGCTAATAATAGCGTAGCACACCTACAAATTTGACTACGCCGTAGTGGCTACGGTCGCCTACAAGACAACGATGGATCTACGAGACTTGCTTCTACGATTTTTAGGGTCTACGAGTGTCTTTGATCTTACAAAATATAACCTTTTACGTATATTTTACGTGAGTGCCGTATCTCAAAGAAGTCCTCTTAATTGATTTTTGTATTTTTTTTCAGTAAATTTACTGAAAATTGTATGTAGTTTACGCGAGTAGAACACATTTAAATAAAACACTAACGGTTTAAAACGTGATATATTTTAATTAAACTTATTTGAAAATTATTTTTAACTACACTAAGGAGGAATAAATAGTGTTTCAAACCGTTAAAGTGTTTCACTTACGTTATACATTGTTTCGTGTTTTGTTTGGACATACTTTTTATATTTATATATTTTTTATTGCAAAACTTTTGTGTCAATAATTCATATTATTATACAATAACATAATTGTAGCTAGACGAAAGATTACTATTTCTTTGATTATTCGAACAATAAACTGCTTAGATAAGTTTATAAAGATATTAACATTTAAAGGTAAAGAGACGAGGTCTAACTCGCCCTTTGCGAAAGGTTATAATTCAATTGAAAAGGTCGAACTCCTACAGTTGAAAAGCATTCGATATAATGTGTTTTAAATTAATTTAAAAGGTCCAATATGTTTATTACTAAGTTTATAATTTATCAACTGTTTATTGTTGGAAGAAACGAGTCGTTCTTTATAACAGAAAAGGATAGACAATAGAAGGGTTTACTTATATACTAACTAGCTGACCCGGCAAACGATGTTTTGCCATATAAATAATTTTACTAAAATGGCTATTAATAAATAACGGTTGATCGTAGATAGGTGAAAATTAAGGATTGTATGTATTTCTGTATGTTGTATCATAAAAAAAATAGAAATTAAAAATTTAGTTTAAAAAATAAAAATAAAATTTGGGGTGGACTACCCCTAACATTTAGGGGGATAAAAATTAGACGTTGGCCGATTCTCACAGATACCGGATAAGCACAAAAAAAATCATCAAAATCGGTCAAGCCGTTTCGGAGGAGTATGGCAACGAAAACTGTGACACGAGAATTTTATATATTAGATATATATAAGGCTGAAAAGTTTGTTTGTGCGAATTAATCAGGAACTACTGATTCGATTAAAAAAAGTGTGTTGGTTAAAGCATATTATATTGAAGAAGGCTGTAAGCTATAAAACATAGCACTAAGACTAATATGTAGTAGCGTGACATTGGGAAATGTGGGAAAAATGGGGAAATTATTCACTGTGTCGGTTTCCAATGTGTACGCTGCAAAAACGGTTTAAGATACCCAAAAAATCTGTATGACAGAAAGATTCCTCTTTTAATAATCTAAACGCTATATTATGTCTATTTTTTAAGATTAACTAGCAAGAACGACTCATTTCTTTATTGCAATTATGTAACATATTAACTGAGTATTGAGCAATGTGGGCGATGCAATGTACGATGTCGAGCAAACTAACGACGAAAAAATCAATGATAATGAAGAATCGACTGTAACAAGTAATATTACATTTTAAAACACTGTTAAATTTATACCGTCGTCGGGCCATACCTACTTAAAATAAATTGTAAATTGACGGATTGTTGGTTTAATGCTGATTATTAGCCGTACATTGCTGCAATATACGGCTAATAATAAACGGGTCCAACATTTTTTCTAATCAATTTAAATTTTTCTGAAACATTTTGTCCTTCGTCTAAAAATGATTATTAAATAGGCGGTAGGAATATAAAAATGCCGTCAATGTCACGAACCACCATCCACAGATGCAAAAAGCCGTGAAGTTTAATCACGTTTCGGTTACAGTCCGTTGGATTTCCGAATATCCAAAACCAAAATACGTCGATAGCGCATCTTGGGATTGAGATGCTATAGGCTAGGCTATTTCACTTACCATCAAGTTATCGCCACGCTCGTCTGTCTTCATTTAAAAAAAAGGTGTATATGCGTCAATACATTTCGTCTTTTAAACCGTTGAAGGTGTTTTATTTAAATGTGTACTGCTCGCGTTAATTATAGAAAGTACTTAATTAACCGTTTCAATTTTGGTAAGTACCCAGCCTTACACTGCGAATGTTTGGTCAGTACCCAGAATTTTTAAAATGGCGTTATGTTACATAAGGGTGCCCCGGTATCTCTTATTAAAATCTTAGCGTTTTCCCTTAAAGACCTTCTTGAGACTGTCTGTGATGACGTTGTACTTTACTAAAGAATTTCAGGACGTGAAGGTAAATTACGATAAACGACACATTTTATATGCCACCTCGGAAAGAATTTCGTGTAAGAATGAGCCCGAAATTTCCATCACAAACAGGCTATACAATTTTCTTACCATATCATATTTTACAACTATACAATATGTACTACAATAAAATTGTTGACTCGTTTATTATTCAAAATATATATCTTTTTATTTAATATACTTACTAACTAGGTACACACACATGTTTTAAGCCACTGAAGTTAGGTACATAAAAATTATCTTTATTATAATTTACTTTATAAGTTGTATATTATATATACTTAATAATATACATAGTTTTAACTATAAAAATGTATATAGAGAGTTAAAAACGTAATACACGCCAAATAACAAAGTTATTTTTAAGTAATTCTACAAAAAATTTATTTATTTAATATTTGAAATTATTAATATAGGTAAAAATGACAATATAATTGTTTTTAAACACATTTGAAACAATTATATTGATAAGTTTAGAAATTAACAATATGGGGCAGTTTAAACCAGAATTATTTGTGTAACATAAATGTACATTGGGGAATAAAAGGAGTTTTTAATGCTAAATAATATATGTATATAAAAATGTCTTTATTTAAATACTTATAATTTTTACTCGTAATTTAATAAATAGAAAATAATTTAATTAAGACAGAAATGATAATCTATAACATTTATCTAAATTTAAGCAACTACATGGTCGATATGAGTACCCCTTTTGTCTTTGTTTTGTTTGTTTTCATTAAAAGTATACCCTTTTTTAGCCTTTAACTCATTTATATATTATATAATGCGTGATCAATATGCACCGATCCTATTGTATCTTATGAGTATAATTATTTTACTTGTGTTTTTTTTTATTTGTATATGTATATGTATATAAATATAACGTCCGAAACTGAACGTTACCAAGTCTGAACGTTAAGCGCTAGGTCTTAAGTTTGAATCTTTGGAAAACATTAAACTTTTTCTGTCTGGCAGGCCATAGAAGTCTGATTAATTATTTGACTGCTAAAGAACTGATTAATTAACGGACACAGAAATGTGTTTGCCCCATGCCACATTTATATAGGTAATGAATGTGGTTATATTTCCTTTTGTTTCTAGATTTAAATTTGTCGGTATCCAAATGTCATATATGTCAATACATGAAAATAAAATAATTTTCAGCATCATGAATCCTCTATCCAAGTTTCAAAATAGTCTATTGCCTTTTATATTTGGCAGCGATTCGTATAACAATTTATGGCTTGGCTTCTAAAAGTGATATATTCGCGTTAAGAACCGGGATTATTTGATGTTTATGTTCTGAGCGAAGCATTATACCGCTTATTTCTGGTTAAGTGGAGCTTTAGAAAATGCCTTTATTCATCCCACGCCAAAATGTTTAAGTGTGTGTATGCCGAACTAACGTTTAAATAATAATAGACGCGCATATCTATAACAAAGAACCGGTCAGGCGAGAATCAGAGTCGACGACGAAGGGTTCCGCAGCGACTAAAAAGCTTTAGTTATTTCTAGTAGTAGTAGCAAAACATTTCTTTTGTTTCTACTTTGAATATTTATTATATTTTCTTTTTAGTCTTTGTTATAATTAGTTGATTTACATAATTTGTGACATAGTTGGCAAATCAAAACAATTGGGTTTCAAATCCGGATCCTTTGCACTCATTAAGGGGTGTTTACGACTGAGCTATGAAACGGTCTAAAAACTTTGGAACTTGCACAATTAAAGAGGCTACGGTACTGTAAGATATCTTTTACTTCAGTTTTGCTGTAATATATTTTCGTTATCTATAAAGAACATTTCGTATATTAGAAAATTCTTAAACTTCAATATATAACAAAATTTGTGCTTTAAGAGTCTAACAAATTAATCAAACCCGTATTTAAGTTCTCAAGATAGTAGTATATTTAGGTAGCTGATCTATTCTTAGCCCGTATACTTAAGAGATAACTTGATCCAGGTCTATCGCCTCTACCAAAGATAATTATAGTCCATCGATTTTACGAGCTATTAGGCTGGTAGTCACGATAGCGTAACAGCAGCCAAATTTCTTCACAATTATTTCACCTGATTGACTTGCACGCTATGCATTACTTGGCTCCTTGTCTAATCCATTGTTTAATGAAATATTTAACGGTTTCAAACGTAAAATATACTTATGAACGCAGCGACCGTTGTTTTGTCGAGCCACTCCTTTACATTTATTTATTTTTTAATTGTATTATAAATGTAACATATAAATTAAACATTTCGAAATTATTTGGAAATATTAATGATAAATGTAGCTTTCCTAATATCAAAAGATTTTTTGAAATTGACACAGTAGTTTATGAGGTTCCATATTACAAATCTTTCCCTTTTATAATATTGTTGCAGGTAACTTATCAGCAGTATAAAATAACTTAACTAATGTAATTCTCGTTTTAGCCCTTAAAAGTGTTTTTTTTTTTAATGGCACGGGTTCTAATTTTAAATAAAGTATTGCTTATTTTTCCCTTATCAACCTTTGTCTTTGTTTAACCAGTTGCAGATAGAAGCCGGCGGCGGTGAAGGTCCAGGTCCTCCGGGGAACAACAACACAGACGGCGCCGTCGCAAGTCCACCGCGAGATGACAATCACAACGCACAGTTGCCGACACCGCGGGCGACACCTTTGACACCTTCAGGTAGATCACTTTAGTTTTCACATATAATAAAAGGGTGAAAACAGACGAGACGCAAACCCACAACTAATCACGCATTCCATAGCTTTTGCAATTTACAAAAAACAACAAACAAAACAAATACTTTTTTGTCACCACAATAAAATTACAAAAATAAGATTTAATTTGAAGGAATTGCAAAAAATATTAGCGTAAACCGGCGGCCTCATCGCTACAAAGCGATTTCTTCCAAGTAACATTAAAGATTTACAAAAATAGTTGTAACATTAGACCTACAGTAAGTTTATTCAATGCTAACAATGCTGTTAAAGTTTGACTTTATAACTAAATTAAATTACCTAATCAAATTTATCTACCGTGTCGTACGTTAATTGGAATTCCTAATCATTTTATAATTACCTGCATTTGCATATACACGTAAAAGAGCTCTTTCGTGGCTTCGAGTTGTGACAGCGTCATTTATTTTCATAAAATGAGAAAAAATTAGTATTATGAAACCTTCTACATTTAAATAAAACACTTTAACGGTTTTAAACGCGATATCTATTAGTTAATCTTATTTAGATTCTTTAACTGCGGCCTGTCGTTTCGGATGCTTTGCAGCAGCCATGGTCACAGAGAGTCTAATACATCGTATATTAAACCGTAAAGAGTTTTATTTAAATGTGTACTACTCGTGTAAACTAGGGCTACTGTTTAAACCTTCGCGGCAACCTACTATCGCGCATACCACGTCGCGGCCTCCTCTAATACGTTTAAGGAACTTTGTCACTTTAATTGTTTAGAAGTTAGCGTCCATTGCAACTTGCTTAATAGGACAAAGTTATAATTTCCCTGAAACACACCCAAAACTGCTTTCAAAATGTTATGTTTTAATCGGAAAATAAAAAGATTCTAGTAGGTATGTATCTGGTGATGTGTAGGTATTTGGAATTCAATACGCAGAATCAGATTATCTTAATTACAGTGTTTTATTATTATACTTAAATACTACATTAAAATTACTAGAACAAAAATACCGCTACATACTTTGACGTCAGAGACATCCTCCGTCTTTATCCTCCCTGTGACCACGGCTGCCGCAAAGCATCCGAAACGTCGGCCGAAGTTAAAAATAATTTTCAAATAAGTTTAAAAATATATGTCGCGTTTTAAACCGTTAACGTGTTTTATTTAAATGTGTACTATTCGCTTAAACTAGAGACCGTATTTAGTATTAACTTTATCACACAATACAAGAAATAATAATTAGTCATGACTCAGGTTAAATATTTATTTTATAGCGTTTGAAGTTTCGTTGGTAGCAATGTTTAGCAAAAAATAATTAACCTTCCTTTTCCCCCCCGGCCCTATATATCTACATGATTTATTGGGATAATATTTTATGGTAGGGTAAATTCCTTCTAGGTTACAAACCACGATCTACAGACAAAAAAGCCGTGAAGTTTCAGACAAAAATTGTTTTATCTAAAGACAAATTAGGTCGACCGCTCGTTTAGATGTTTCATAGCTGGGGCCTTCCAATTAAGGGAACCTAATGTTTGTCCTAAAAACATATTTGACAATAATGTTGTGATATCGAGCATTTCACGTTTTAATCCGTTAAGAGTGTATTATTTAAATATTTTCGTGAACATCAAACTTAATTTGTATTTTTGACATTATGTTGCATTGTATATCTAGTGTCTGTTTAAACATATTTTCACCCATTCATACAAGGTATTCAAGGTATTTTTATCATAAATAAGATAACAAGGAAAGTTCTTAAAGCCACCAGTCCGGTGCAAAAAGACAGCCGTACACACAACGGAGCAAGGCAAGTTCCATCCACAACAAGTTGGATTAGCTAACTTTGCGCCATTATGGTCAGACAGATGTTTGTCGGTTTTCAGTACGGAGCCGTGTATAAGTTTATGTATTAGTTTATAATCTAACATAGTACATTCGATTCCTAGGAAAACAAGATTTTTTTTTAACTGTTATAGGAAATACTGTCTATAGTTTACGCGAGTAGTACACTTAGAGACCCACCAGTCTCCCCGTGACCACGGCTGCTGCAAAGCATCCGAAACGTCGGGCCAAAGTTAAAAAAAATTTAAAAAAGTTAAAAATAAGTTTAACTAATATATCGCGTTTTAAACCGTTAAAGTGTTTTATTTAAACGTTATAGGAAATTCATCTAAAAACCCAAACATAAATATCGTAAAAACTAACCTTACCAATTCATTTATAATATTTTGAAAGTGGTAAGATGAAAATAAAAAAAAACATTTTGAAACACCCATTCTGCCTATTGAGAATATTTGTTAAGAATTACGCGTTTTAATCAGTTCAAAATAATAAAATTTTACTATAGAAACACAGTGAGAACAATCCAACTGCCTACAGGAGTGAATTGAAGTTACACTGCCAACATCACAAGTCAGATTCAGGTCACAGAAGGCATTGTTATGTAAATAATTTATCTTGCTGCTCCCGAACGGCTGATTGATGGCTTTTCGTTATTTAAAGATTTGTAGAAACGGTAGCAGGCTTGTGTTGAAAGTTATTAAATATCACTAAATATATATACCTAGTAATCAATACTAACATTATAAAGCTGAAGAGTTTGTTTGTTTACAGCGAACTAGTCTCAGGAACTACTAATTCGAATTGATTTTTTTTGCGTTGGTTAAAGCAATTATCCAAGAATGCGAAGAAACTATTCATCATTGAGGGTTACGTGCACTGAGATATCGGTTCAAGATATCCAATAATTATGTATTGAAGAATGATTCCTCTATAAATGGTCTATAAAAAGGCCGCGACCCTAGTGAAAATTATAACATGAGACTAAATTTAACGCTATTAGATACAATCTTAGTTATAACTATGGAATACACAAACCTTTTTGGTTGGAATTGTAGACTGAAGTATAAATTTAATACATATTTATTTACACTTGATAAGGCTAAAGTTTTGAATCATCTTCCGACGGGCTCGTTGGTGTATAGCAATGTACGACTAATAATCGTGGGTTCGATTCCCACCAGGTCAAACATTTATCTAATCAATGTATAACTTTCTGAAACATGTTTGACTTGACACCATCCACAGATGAAAAAGCCGTGAAGTTAAATCACTTTCGGGTTTCAGTCTGTGGATTTCCGAATATCCAAAGCCAAAATAAGTGCACAGCGCATTTTGTTGGTCTGTCCCCCTCTATTATTAAAAAAAAACCTATGCTTCATCGTTTCATTAATCTAATTATAGTAACTTATCTTAATAATAACTTTTCAAATCTAATACCCACTAGAATGAGATATAATGAAAATATTAATTTAACGGCTTAATTAATTATATAGGTAACTTTCCCTCGTCTTTCATCCTAAACCTTCAAAGGAAGATCTTGAATATGACTAGAAAATACGCGTTTGCGATTAAGAGGCTTCTTTTAATGAAATAATATCAAGTTGAAGGTAGATTTATGTAACTGCAGTAATTATTATTGAGAAATCGTAATGCGGTTATGACTAGACTATGTAGTAACGTTGTACAATTTAAAAAAAATTAATATTTTACATGATAGCTTTATATAAATAATGAGATTGTTTTTGACTGACGATACGGCCACGAATTACACGGTAGTTTAATTGGTTAGAACAGCAGCACCAAACGCTGTGGTCTCAGGTTCTAATCCCGCCCGTGTCTTAATTTATTTCATTATCTAAATAGATCTATTGTACAATTTATTACAGAAATACTCAAACATTTTTGTTAGTTTTTGTAAATTTTCCTAAACTCTATGGACTTGAAAACGATAAATGCAGCATCGGCCAGCACTTGACCATCGATAGTGAACTTCATAGAGAAGGCCACAGATTATACTAGTTATCACGAGGCTCTGTTGTCTCTGCAATGTACTATGTAGGTCAACATCACTTAATTGGACGAAGAACAATGCTGTGCAAGCAGATTGAGACAAACTGCGGTTCTCTTAAATTTTCTTTTAACGTCAAATTTAGCTCTCGCAAAATATATACATCACACGTTACCTCTTTGACTCGTAATTTACCTTTAGTCAAGATCCTGGGTTCGAACGGGAAAAGATATAGATTTTTTTAGTTGATAAAGTAAGCTTTAAAAAATAAATAATGTATTAAATCTATTGCTATAACATTACTCTGAAAAACGTTATTTTAAAATATTGTAACTGTCACTCTTTATTATAAAAAATACACAATAAAATACATTTAGAACAAACAAAAGCTTAGATCGGATTTTTTTATAATATCAAACCATTATAATAGCACAGTTTATCGATTTGTTGTTACATAAAAGACTGTATGTCAATAGCGTTCACTGTTATCTGTAACGGAAATTACAATGCGTCGTGAATTTCAAATTTCGGGCAGATTATTAAATTCCACAGATAATTTATTATGTCAAAGTCGCTGTATCACAGTGACAGTGCTTTTAACACTATTGTGGAGGAATTCTACAGACTACCTACGTGTATCTAATAAGTTGTAAAGGCAATTTGTGAGTTGCCTTTCCGAGAATCTATTGAAGGATTTTCACGAAAATACATTTTCGCGACAGTTTATTGACTGCTATCTGGGGTTATTTGTCACTTTATCGACATTTTTATTTGAAGATTAGGAATAGGTTGTTGACCCTTGATGTCTGCCAGAGGTGATACGAAATGTAATACGAGGTTATCAGTTTGTGTATCATTTTATTCATTTCGGAGAGCTCTCAGTCCTTAGACTAAAAAAAAACCTTTATTTCCTTAAAATTACTTAAAAATCTTTACTAAATCTAATTTTCAGAGCTGTTATTATATAAGTATGTACAACATTATTATTTTAAAATGATTATAAAACAATAGCTTATTTTGGGCATCCAAATTTGTTCCTTGTAAACCTTCATCTTTGTAATTTTAAGGTGTAACCCACGACATCTTTCGCACCCCGTCGTTCATAAGTTAATCTTAAAAGATAGACATATAGCGTCCCTTTTTTTAGATAATTTAAAGAGGAATGATTTGGATTCATTTTTTGGGGTTCTTGAACCGTTTTGTTAGCGTACGCCTCGGAAACCCATAATGATGAATTATTTACCCAGTTTTTTTCACATTTCTCACTGTGTCTTATGGTATTAGTCTCAGGGCGATGTTTCATAACCTATAGGTTATAGGAAGGCTATAGTTTCTTTGATAAATGCTCTAACCAACACATATAATTTTTCAATTCGAACCGGTAGTTCCTGAGATTAGCGCGTTAAAACAAACAAACAAACTAAATACTGTCTATGACGTTTCGGATGCTTTGCAGCAGCCGTGGTCACGGGAGACTAAAGATGGAGGATGTCACTGACGTCAAAGTAAAAATTGCTACGCTAGCGCCATCTGTTCCGTCGAAGTTGGTATTTGGCGAAACTGTCCGGGTCCTTACAGAATCGACTAACGGTGTCTTCGCGTTTGCTAACAAACAGCATACCGGCAAACGCGAAGACACCGTTAGTCAACTCGGTAACTACTGGGGTAACAACAGTACTTAATTTATCTATGTTTTAAATATTATAAAGCCCTAAAAAATACATTACAAGAATATTTGCGTTTGATACAGATAGACAGACGGATTCTATATTGAGTGAGCAACAACGATGACGATAAAAACATTAAACATATAAATTTATTTGGTAATTTTATGTTGAAAATGACTGAGATGTTTTCAATTGGAAACTTTCTGGAAGCTTATTCAATATTCTCAGCCAAAGTATTGTGATTATTAAGCGCCTTACATGTTTGAATAGCAAACTTTCATTCCCTCCTATTTGCGAAGCTTTGAGCTAAGGGATTTGATATTGGTTTTTATGTTTGTTAGTTATTTTGCATATGTAATATAACATTGTATAACCTTGTACAAAGTAATAATAAACACTGGTATTGTTTATTTACCATAAACATGTTGTTAGCTATCAATTTGTTTTTTTCTCTTTATGTAATTAGTGAATATGAAAGAGGAAACAATACCGATAAAATTAACTTTTTACTCCGATATTTACAAGTGTTTTCGTGTCCTGGTATGACAGTAACTTATGCAGTAATAAGAAATCTGTAATTCTAAGCTCCTAATACATGATGATATCATGATATCATATGATAAATGTATTAGCTATTGATTATAAATAGGTTAACAGTATTTAAGATGTTAAAAGGCTAAGTCCAAACGATGAACAGATGGCGCCAGTGTAGATCCCTCCATCTTCAATCCCCTCGTGACCACAGCAGCTGTAAAGCATCCGAAACGTCGATCAGCAGTTAAAATAAATTGTAAATAAGTGAAGTTATTTATTTTCCGTTATAAACCGTTAAAATTATTTTATTTAAATGCTATCAGGTTATTTAATCATCACGACCAATCAATTAAAAGATTTCTGTTATAAAATTCATTTATTTATTTTCATTTCATATACCTAAACATCTTTCTTTTTCCTGTAATATCTCCTAATTGGGTACTACAGGATACAATTTTCTGCCTGTACTCTTCTCCTGTGATATCTCACCTATAATTTTTGACCCGTCCTTGACATATATTTTCGTTCCGTTCTGTTACGTTGTTTTACGTTACGCCCGAACGTAAACTGAATTTTCCCTGCACCGCCAGAATGCCAAAGGAAATATTATGTTTCGCAAAGGGCACTATACCTTTTTTCATAACTTTGAAGTGTTTATTTGGAACATAAATACATCAAGAGTTCTAGTTTTAAGTTAGTATCTCGCTGCGACTAATAAAAGCGCAGAAACAGCGTTTTGAAATGAAGATTAAAAAGATTTACAAATATGCTGGACTGTGTTCGAATTACTACCCACGACTCATTAGCTCTAATTAATTTAAGGCTCTAAGGCTCTAATTAATTTAAATTTTGATTCTATTTAAATAACAGAACCGTAACGGTCATTCAAATAAGTAAGACAGAAAAGTATATTTTTTTTTACCTATTTTGGCCTTGCATATTTATAGATAGGATTTGTGTCTATTCAAATATTTCTTCGAGATTTAGAAATATAAATTCTTTACAGAAGCATTAAAAGCATTCGGCGAACGTCTGACAGATTGGGAAAGAAATGAAATAAGAAAATACCCAGAAATATGGTTCCTCGGTCTGGAGTCGAACAAGATTCATGCAAGGTCGAATTTACCGAACAACTGTGGCTTTGATGATGAGAACGGCAGCTATAGTAAAGTAAGTACAATTATATCATACTTATAATTCCAACCGGCCATTAGATGAATTTAAAAATGGCTGTAATTCATATTAAATGTTAAAATAAACCAAACTTGTATGTCTTAAAAACTTTAATATTTTTATCCTATGTAAATTAAAATTAAAAATCATTAAATTTTTGTTTGCATTAGTAGCTTTTTACCAAACAATACGTACAATTACAACTTAAGTAGAACAAATGATAGATCACATTTTAATCTATACTTATAACTAACCTTGTGAAACTGTTAAGGATGACCTTATTTTTTTTTATTGTTATTCTATAGCTACTTATCTAATGTATCTGTATGTTTCATTTTGCTAAATAAATAAACTAAAAACTGACCTTCAATACTCTTTCCAGCAAATCCACGACCACATAGCATACCGCTACGAAATCCTGGAGGTGATTGGCAAAGGTTCTTTCGGGCAAGTGATCAGAGCCTTCGATCATCGCTCCGGTTCACAGGTGGCAATCAAAATCATCAGAAACAAAAAACGGTTTCATCATCAGGCGCTAGTTGAGGTAGTTTATTCTATTAAAATACGTCGAGATAATTATTTCAAGTTTCTGCATGTTTACGCGAGTAGTACACATTTAAATAAAACTCTTTAACGGTTTAAAACGCGATATTTTTGTTAAACTTTTTTGGAAATTTTCCCCCCCCCCCCGGGGGGGTGGGGGGGTTCCCCCCCGGGGGCCCCGGGGGGGTTTTGTTATTAAATTTTTTTAATTTTTTTTTTTTTTTTTTTTTTTTTCCCTTTTTTTTTTTTTTTTTTTTTTTATTTTTATTTTTTTTATTTTTAAAATTGCAATTTGAATACCATGCTGTATGCCTTACCAAAAAATTTAGCTCAAACGGCTCCAGTTCTCGAGTTCCAGCTCGTTTTTAAAAAATCAGTTAATTATTTCTCTGAAGCATGTCTGGAAAATTTGGGCATCAGAATATATTGAGTAAAAAATGGAGGGAAAACTCCGTCCCTGTTACCTACAGATGAAAAAGCTATGAAGTATATCAATAACTAAGACGTAAAAACAAGTACCTTATTTAATAGTGATATTTAATAAGGCATAAATAAACACTTTTAGCAGTTCAAAAGGCGAGATATATGTTTGTTATCTTGTTTTAAATTTATTTTAACTACGGACGGATTTAAGGGCGCTACACTAGCGCCATCTGAAGAGGGTTTAATTGTTTTATTTAAATGTGTATTACTAGTGTAAACTACAGACAATATTTGAACAATAACTTGCTTTATTATAGGTACGCGTTCTGGATCATCTAAGGCTTAAAGACAAAGACCAAGCCCATAATGTCATCCATATGCTTGACTATTTCTACTTCAGAAATCATTTGTGCATCAGTTTTGAATTGATGAGGTAAGTGTCTTCAGTTAATGGCATATTGGCAAATCGTAAATAATTTTTTTTATGTTATGTTTTAATAAAGAGTTTATTTATTATTATTATTGGACTAATTATAATTAATTAAGGTTATACATAGACTCGAAACGGTTCAAAAGGCATGTTTCGCTTCTCGTATAAATACCAAAACGGTTATTCCCCTTTTAGATATACCACGAAATTTTTACTTGGCCATCTTGGCAACTTTTAGAGGTGCGAAGATCTGTTTATTTATTAACTAGCTGTGCCAGCGACTGCGTCTGCGAGAGTCGTTATTTTGGGCATCCAAATTCGTTTTTGCAAACCCCATCTTTGTAAACTTAAGCTGTTACCCACGACGTCGGTCGCGTCCATTCTCATCGCTCTTGCTAGTTCGTCTTAAAAGATAGACATATAGGGTCGCGAACTTTTTTATATATTTTTAAGATTTCATTCTTTCATACATTTTTTTGGGTGTCTTGAACCTTTTCGCAGCGTACGCATCTGAAACCCACAAAGATAAAAAAATTATCCCGTTTTGTTTACATTTCCCGCTGTATCTTCGCTTATGTTAGTCAAGCGGATGTTTTATAGCAAAAATAATTTCTCAATTCGAACCTGTAGTACCTGAGATTAGCGCGTTCAAACAAACAAATAAACGAACTCTTCACCTTTATATATTGGTATAGATATACGCCTTCAAAATTGAACGTGGCAAAGTTGACGCTGGGAGTCTTAGTCAAAGTCAAAATGCGCCATTTTCTCGACATTGTCCGAGACATTTGTCGCGCCCGTCTGCACGTGGTATTTGTGTTTCCAAGAGTTCGAATATCCTCTCGATTGGGGTAGATGATCAGAGCTGTCCCGGTATTCACCCCGAAATAGTCTTGTTCGTATATTGATTGTTAATAAGATATTGATGTTATTTTTAACGAAATGATATTTCTCTTACTATGGAGATGGTTTTTTTATCGTCGGACTGAGTTATTATTCCTGTATTTTGATGTTGTTACGAAAAGCCTATTTGTGATTCAATGATGATAACTGTTAGTGTTCGATGGACTGTAAAAGTTATTATTTTAAGATTTGCTTTAACTGTTTAGGAGGAAATAACTGAAATTACTTGTATGTTAGGTATATAGGAGAATGTTCGTATTAATTTAAATAAAACACTTGTAACGGTTTAAAATGCGATATATACTACCGTAGAAAATTTTACTTTGAAACTAAGAACACCCGTTGCAGACAGGACACAATATTCAAAACGTTAGGCTGTAGTTAAAATAAAAATGCGTCCGTAATTAATACAGTTAAGGTAAAAAGACATGGTTCATTCAACGTGCACAACATTACTTACTTACTGCAGGAACGCTTTGTGTAACTTTCCTACAAGAAAAAGGAACTTCTTGCTGTCAAAGAGCAACGAAAAAACTTGCTACTCGCTAAACCGCATCGCGTCGAAACTTTGTTAATTACGGTGCCCGTTCCTTACTCCTTTGTGGATTGATCTATTGAGTAAGTCCGACTTGATATCTGCATAGCAACTGCAAGATTGTTGCGGTATACTTTAATTCGTCTTTTTTACGATGAGCATGGGATTCACTCGACGATAGGTTGCCAGCCTTATAATATGTAAATAAGATGTGCTGCCGGCCTACTTTAGTTTTGAATATTCTGAAATCCACAGACTAACATCGAAACGCGATTAAACATGACAGCATTTTCATCTGTGGGCGGTGATTCGACACGACGAATTAATCAATTTAAATCCTCTTTTCCAGCATAAACCTGTACGAATTGATAAAGAAGAACAACTACCAGGGCTTCAGTCTCAGTCTGATAAGAAGGTTTACCAGTTCTCTCCTTCGCTGTCTGAGGCTACTTGAAGCTGAAAACATCATACATTGTGATTTGAAACCAGTAAGTGTTGGAAAAACTTTTCGACTCGGGCAAGGACTTGAACCGGTCATCATGTGCAATAACATGTAAAAAATATTAAAGATTTTTAAAATTAAAATAAATTAAAGCTATATGTGCAATGAAAATCAAATAATATTTTAGTCGATTCAAGTTTAAAAAAAATTGACGATACGGACGGGTCTTGAACTGGCATTCACAGCGTTCCGTGTTGTTGCTCGATCGATTTTTTTTCAATCTAATGTTGATTTTAATTTATATAATGCAATTATGAGCATTAACATGTAAAAAATTTGAAAGTTTTACCGAAATAAAACGCAAAAACATCTCGCAATGCATCGACTGATAGATCTATTAAAATTTTAATCTCGTATTCACGAGGAAATAATATAAAACCTGGATTTCAGGAGAACATACTCCTCAAAGCGCGAGGCAGTTCATCTATAAAGGTCATCGACTTTGGCAGTTCATGTTATACGCATGCAAGGGTCTACACCTACATACAATCCAGGTTCTATCGGAGTCCAGAAGTTATCCTGGGACTTCAGTACGGCACACCTATTGATATGTGGAGTATGGGTGAGTAAATTTAATCAACGATCTTTATGAAAGTTATTGACGAAGGAGACAAACAAAAAGTCCTTAGCCGGGATTCAAACCTCGTCCCAAATAATCAAGCGTGAACCACGCTCTCACGGCTACCGACAAATATGCAAAAATACGAAGCAACTATTGTTACTTATCTCATTAATTAGTGCATGGAGTTTTCGCATCTTCATCTCTGTGTTAAGACACAATATCGTATGAATTTTAGGATGTCTAGATGAGGTTAAGCCGATGTAGGTTACGCAATGGTCGTTTGTAGAAAGTAAGAGAAAGGCGCTGGGTTTACACGTGCGATCCGCAAACATACGTACGAAGTTTTACACTAACGCTGGGAAACGTTATTAACGGTTTTTGTGTAGGCACCGATGACAAACATACCTTGCGTTACGTTGTACTACGTTTAGGCTTTTCTTTGCTTCCTTTTCAAATCAACAAGCAAAATACGAAATAGGGCAAATTATCCCAATACTAATATGAATTAAACATCGATAAAAAAAAATAAAAAAATAACGACTCTGTCAGGACTTAAAAAGGCATGCTCAGCGGTGCTATGTATTATAAAGTAGGACTCGGTAGCTCAACTGTTGAGAGCAACAGCCCGGAACGCTAAAGAGGCCCATTCAAATCCTGCCCGAGCATTTTTTACAATTTATTATTAACATTGTAATGTTATAGGTACTTATTAATTTTATACAGGTTGCTTGGTAAACTTTAAATTTCACATCAACTTCGTTCTTAAGGAGTAGTAATAACTATCGAATTTATGAAACATCGAGTAGGTACAATGCAGAAGTTGAGTTTTTTTTATATAAAATAGATTTTTTGCTGTAAGAAACCCGAACGGCATAAAAATTTTGCGTCAAAAGACACGCGTGTAAAAGCATTCCGCTACATTTACGCAACCGAATGACTTATGTTTCATCTTAATTCTTTGACATTTGATTATATAATCCATAGCTGTTCGGCCGTGAACATCTTCAAATTACTTCGTATCGAGTATACCTACTTGTTTTTAATAAGTTTATGATTGACGTATTGCATATTTGATAAAAGTGGGACAAGATGTAATAATGTCATGACACATCATAAATAGGAAGCTATTTATTAGTTTGCAGTATCGAAAATATTTTTATTTACGTATTTCTTTATAAGTAAATAAAAAGTGAATCAAATTGAGAATCGATTATAAATTGAAAAACTTTATCACTCGGGCAGGATTTGAACCGGCATTGATTTTATTCTTTCATTATAAACAGCTTTATAAAAAGAATCGCCCTCTCTCTATTGCGAAGAAGGAAATTCCCAGGCCCAAGATAAACATCAAATTTATTATTTTCCTAGTATTCCGAGCAGCTAGTCATTTGATATAATTGTCCGGCTAGACCATATAGTTTAATGGCTCAGCGCGAGGGGTCCTAAGTTCGAGTCCCGGGAAACGATTAATTGCTCTATGAAATATTGTTTGTATTTTCAGGCTGCATTCTGGCTGAACTTCATACGGGCTACCCGCTGTTCCCGGGAGAGAACGAAGCTGAACAGCTAGCCTGTATCATGGAACTCTTGGGTCCACCGCCCCCTGATCTTCTATTACACGCTACTAGAAAGAGACTGTTCTTTGGTAAGTAATTGAGTACTGTAATTTACATTTGATACCAGCATCTAAAATACAGGACCTAGCACGAATGAGAAGAACCCACGACAAGAAACTCGTCTCTACTTACCTTGCGAATTAAGCTTGAAATGCACAAGCGAGGACTGTTGACCATCCTTGCCCCAAAAGAATCTGTCTCTAAATCGCCGTAGAAAATTGTCCGGTCCACGCCCTACAAGTTTACTCTACATTAAAAAGAAATCCCGAGTTTCGTTATTAAATCTACTTTCTCCGACGAATAAACAATTTAATTTTGCAAACGAAATTGTACGAATTATTTTTTCTTCATTTTAAAATAGAAAGCAAAGTTTCTCATAACGGTTATACAGAATTGAGAAAATAAAATACTTGAGTATAAGATTAAATTGGCATCTACAATACCTATGGATCACTATTTAATCTAGAAGATCTTAGTTTCAAGAAGTAAAAAGAGTGAAAAGATGTACAAAAATGTTTATTTCACATGATTTGAAGTTTGTCTTTCTTCACTATAGTTCCTCCAATTAAGCGATAATAATCAGCGATGCAAAGAAGCATGTACATAATGAAAAAGAGACAGTAATTTGAATAAAACACTTGAACGGTTGAAAACGCGATATATTTTAGTTAAACTTATTTGAAAATTATTTTTAACTACGGCCCGACGTTTCTACAATTGCTGCAAAGCATCCGAAACATCGGGTCGCGTATATCGCGTTTTAAACCGTTAAAGTGTTTTATCTAAATGTGTACTTCTCGCGTAAACTACAGACTTGCAATTTTTATTATAAAATTACATTTTTCAGACTCCAAGGGTTCCCCGCGAAGCGTGACGAACTCAAAAGGCCGTAAGCGGCGACCCGGTTCGCGAGCTTTATCCACAGCTGTCCGAAGTGATGATCCAGCCTTTTTGCATCTTCTACATCGGTGCTTAGAGTAAGACAATCATATTATATTTTTATTCAATAAGTCTAAAAACTGTTAACGATTTAAAACGTGATATATATATACTGTTAATTCATATTCAATTAAGACCAGGCGTCTCGGATTCTTACAAGCAGCATTGTCACGTAACCATGTCTAAACTGATATTATAAAGCCGAAAAGTCGCGGGCACATCTAGTTTAGAATAAATTGAGTAAGTAATATAATTCTAATTTTAAACCGTTAAAGTGTTTTTATATATGTGTACAGTACAGCATGTTAAAACTACGAACTTTAGTATTAAATACATATTCAACTTAGTAGCCTATCGTTCGAATTTTTTCACTATCAAACGTAATCCGTTTAACAGTAATTAAGTAAAATAGTAACAAACATACAATCATAGAATCTTGCCATTTAAAATGACCTACTTTTATATTGTTATTATAATACGTCGAACATTGTTAGTACATATAAGACACAAATAAGTGCTTCGACATTTACGAAAACCGTCTCGTTATGAAAGCAATAATTGAGATCTCGGTCTATACAACTCACGAGAGAACCGGTGTCATCGTGATACTTATGTCACTTGACAAGAGCTTATCTAATAATATGTAATCAAGTCAATTATGCAACAAGATGTTATCCCATTACTGTATACACTAACTTTTCTAATTCTGGCTTTTGGAATGTGGTTATTTCCTTGAAACTCGCCGTGTTTTATCTGCGTAATCAAACCGCATAGTTTTAGGATTCACAAATGTTACAGCATCATTGATCTACATGTATAACTGTGCCCACGACATCGGTCGCGTCTCGTCGCTCGCGACCCGTCATTAGGGTCCCGTCGTTCTTTCAAGTTAATCTTAAAAGATAGACATATTGTGTCGCGTACATTTATTTAGATCATTTAAAGAGAAATCCTTCTTTCATACATAGTTTTTGGGTGTTATAACCGTTTCCGCACCGTACGCATCTGAAACCAACAGAGATGAAAAATTTCTTCCGATTTGTTCACATTTCCCGTTGTATCTTTGCTTCTATTAGTAACAGCGCGATGTTTTATCGCCTTATAGTCTTCCACGATAAATGCTCTAACCAACACAAAATATTTTTTCAATTGAAACCCGTAGTTTCTGAGATTAGGGCGTTCAAACAAACAAACTCTTTAGCTTTATATATTAGTATAGATAATGATATAAGGAAACTAGACTTAGCGAAAGCAACTGTTTTTAACTACCTGCATATATGTGTTTTGCTCTAGTACGCGACTTTTAATGAAGTTTAGAATTTAAATAACGTAATAAGAATCTTTTAAGGACATAAAATCATAGGAAAAATACTGTTAGTGAATTAAAGGATAAAATAATAAAAAGTATATACCTGATAAATTGTAAAATATTAGAACGTGTAAAAAAATGCGTTACTTATAAATCTGTACCGATTTTTATTCTTCTCTTGTTGACGTTGACGCTGCAGAACATACACATAATATTAAAAACAAAATTATAGCTCTTGCCATGATGAACGCGGTCCGTCGTTCTTCTAGTTAATCCTAAAGAGGTTAAATCTGGGACGTATTTTAAGAGCATTTATTTTCATTTTACTTTTTCCCATTTTGTCCACATTTACCACTTTCGACTCGGACAGGACTTGAACCGGCATCGTCAGCGTTCCGTGCTGTTGCTCGGAATTTTTTTTCAATTTATTTTCGATTTTTAAATTATATAGTGCCTTCATGTGCAATAACATTTGAAAAATATTAATGATTTCAAACAAACAGCAACAAGTTCACTGACCGCGTTATTAATACAAATCTGCATTTTAATAGCATCTCGGATGATCATATTGATTGATGTGTTAACGCGTCATAACGTAATTGAGACGATTTCTGGTTATATAACGTGCAACTGGCTTATTCCACTTCCGTTTCATTTCGTTGATTAAATACATAATATTCAATAATAAATTAAAAATCGATAGTAGATTAAAAAAGTTACGACACGGGCTCTAACGAATTGAGTTACTGTGACGGTTTAAGTTCTGCCCGTGTCGTATTTTTGTACATTGTTACATTTTAATTTATTTTTTTATAATGCCATCATGTGCAACGTGTCAAAAGTATTAGAATTTTGAATTATTTATTGATACTTTTTTAATGCTAGAACTGTTAAATTTCCAATTCAGTTCAATGACTAAAAACCATCGTTGTATCAATGGGGTTATGTGCGATTTTCATCGGATACATCATGTGTTTGAAATTGATTATTTTAAAGAAACATAATATTATACTTGGATATATCCGTCTTGAAAATTGCATACTAGTCACGAACCACTACAGATCAGTGAAACGGACACAGAAATGTGTTCGCCCCAGCCACAAGGGGGAAACGGGATTTCACACACGAACCACTGTCCAAAGATAAAAAACACAGTGTTATTCTACTTTTTTATTTCAATCTCTCCTTGTCCAAATTAAATTTGACAGCTTATCCTATTTAGTGTGGCCTCCTACTGTTTACTAGCTAAATCCCTTGTTTAACAGATATAATATATAAAGAGATCATTATTTGTAATTTTTATAATGTTTAGATGTGTTGATGTGCTTTTCCTCCTGTAGGATTTTAGACATAATTTTTGTATAGCTGACATGATTTTGAAGAGGGTGGAAGTAAAATATATTTTCCTTAAACGTCTCATAACTGTAATTAACTTTCATATGACATGACATTAAACTTTGGAACACTTAATCGCCGAGTGTGAACTTGAGAAAGTAAAGGTTTTTCACGGTACTTAGACATCCCATATGAATGCATACAATATTTACATACACATTTTCACATTTATTTATATATTCATTATTATGTTGATACAACTCTTACAATTAATTGGTTTTACACAAATTTACACAAAAACTGTTCTTGCGAGTTTATTTTTAAAAGATAGACATCCACTGTCCCGAGGTTTTCATAGAACATATTTTAAAGAGGAACACATAGACTTTCTGTAGTTTACGCGAGTGGTATATATTGAAAGAAAACACTTTAACTGTTTAAAACCCGATATATATTACTTAAACTTATTTCAAGATAATTTTACTTTTTTGACGTATTTTCGAAATTTGACGTTTTGGATGCTTAGCAGTAGTCTTGGTCGTCAAATATCAACTTCCAAACAGTTTTTACTTCAGAGACACCTTCTAACTTTAGTGTTCCCGTGACCATGGTGACTGCAAAACAGTTTTAAACCGTTGAAGTGTTTTATTTTAAACAAACATGCAAAGCCATTTTTATTATTTTTCTCCGGAATATATAATTCTTGTCTATGTTTTAAGTTTTAACGCCTCCGTATTGGTTAAATCCGTACCTAAAATTGCGTCGTTTAAGAACGATATTACCTGTGTTTGAATCTTGGGGAAACGATAATTATGTCGTTCGCAATGGTAAGAGTATCATCGTATCGTCTGTAAATAAAATCTCTTGGGTTGTATATAAATAGTAATGATATAAGGAAAATATCTATTCAATTAAAGCGTACAGAACTTGTGAAAAGTACTTTTACTTTCAAATTCTTTGGTGAGTTAATGTTTACTGTGGCCTTTGTACGCACGATTTGACTTGTCTCTATGATAACAAGAAATTTGACACGACATCTTACGGTTTACCGTGTTTTCAACGTTGTTTATTGTTCTAATATAATGCTACGTATAGTTTATGTTGTTGACATTCTCATTAGTAAATATACTATAATAAGCTGAACTGGGAGACTCTGGTGGCGTATGAAATATTGCAACGAAGTTTGATTCCCATAAAATCGGTTATTGTGAGTTAAGTTTTTGCTCCTATTAATCATAGCCTTATATTTTATATCTCCTCGATAAATGGTTTGGTACCAGAAAAGCAACAGTAGAAAAGTCTAAGTGAAAATGAGGAACTGGTGGTTGCTGAGATTAGGGCATTCAAACATAACTATGTATTTCTCTTCATCTGTTCTGTTCTAGCTGTATGATATTAGTACATAAATACATACGTTACATAAGGCACGTTGAACAGTACATCGTTCTAGTAAGTCACGTCTAAATAAGCCTGTGTTGTTTGTCCTATTATTTTACAGGACAATGAATTGTCACTATATGTTAAAAACCCGACAGTTCTACAAGTAAATTGGAATTTATTATTTATTAATTACATCATTGCTTCTGCATTCGTTTAAAAGAACACGAGAGAATAAGATTAATTGTTAGTATATGGTAATCAATAATAGATCAAAGCATTCAAACGAACGACCTCTTCAAATTTTAAAATGTAGTACATATTATACCTGCTACTAATTTCGAAAGTAGCGTACAGGTTATAACTATGTATCGATGTGTTGTTATTTTCAATACAATAAGTTGTTTAGAATACAAAGGAATAAATCAAGAGATTTCGTTTCCTATTCACCATCTGTCACTGTATGGTGTATATTGTGGCGATGCTTTCACCGATTCTAAGCTTATAATATTCTGAATAAATATGTATAAGCAATATTTTTTTACATACTTCCCGCCATTACTGATAAACGTACCACATGTAATAGTAACGCGTTACATGTTTTATTTATTTTCTATCGCTTAATAAGCGTAAAAAACATATCCTGGTTTACAAAATATTTCTTTTTAATTTTCGAAATTTGGTTTCTTAAAAAAAAAAAACCATGTGCTGACTAATAATATTATTTTCATTGAGTTTTTTGTACATACTTGACAAATTAATTTTAATTTTTACTTAAAATGATTAAGTAGGAAACAATTTTTGTACTGCTAATATTAACCGGTAAAATTATGTTTTTGAACCCCTCGCTAATATCCAATTTAACAAATAAAAAGATATAATAAAAGTTTATTTCCTTATGTCATGCCAACTTTCCTAACGCATATTATTTGTGGCAAGATCAAAGAGATTTCACGCAGTTTAAACTATTAACATTTGCTTCCCACAGTGTTTCGTAGCAAAAAGTTGCGATGCGATCGTCTTATACCCAGTGAAAGGTTAGTTGTTACTAATGATACCACAGACTGACGTAACACGCACATAGCATAGAACATAACCTCTGTGCGTCGGAACAAATGAGATGAACCATATGTCAGAAAGATGTAATAAAGCAAAACGTCGCTATTTAAATGTTTCTGACATTTGCCATGTACGCAATAAATGTTTTATAACAAAAAGATCCGAGGCGTCGGGTCGTCCTTATATTTTGCGTCAGAAACCGTTGCAAGAGTACGAGTCGCGTAAACCACAGACTACACAAAGCATTCTTAGGTATTGCCTGTAATATATTATTAATCAAAACCCTTTTAACGTTCTTAAACTGTACGCGGAAAAGTATTACTTTAATTTCGCGTTTAAAACCGTAATTTCATTTTTATTTGAGAATTTCAAATTATTTTATTATTTACATGAAAAGTTAGTCTATTCTGTTAGTCAATTTAAATTCCAATAATTCAATCGCTTATTGTGTATATTTATCTCATATAGTTACAAAACTAGGCCATCCGTTTAAGTTAGATCTGTCCACAGTGTTTTAAACGATATTTATGTGTTTATGTTTAAGAAATCATTATTATACACCAAGTAAGTAGTTTTTACATTAAATTATTTCTTTCTATTTTAATTATTTCTAAATGTCCTATTCTTAAAACAAGAGTAAGCTCGACGTAAACTTCTTCCAACACCTTATTTGCATTTAAACAAAATGCGCTGTCGACCTATTTAGGTTTTAGATATTGAGAAATCCAAAGGTCGAAACCGAAACGCGATTAAACTCCACGACTTTTCTTCTATGGACGTTGGTTCATGACATGGACGGAATTTCTATATTCCTCCCCGGAATATATAATTCCCATTTATAATCCAGATTTTCAGACGAAGTCCAACTTGTTTCAGAAAAATTATACATTGAAATATGTATAGCTAATAATAGTTATATATTGCTATCAGTGTGAAACCTATGTCTGTTTGTCGTCTTATGTAAAAAAAAAAAATTTTTAGCGTCAAAATGTATTTTCATAACAGTGCCTCAATACAAAATATATTATGACCACAATTCAAAGCTACTTATACTATTTATACATTCTGTTTCAAACTGGCAACATTATAAATATTAATACTAGATCGTGGGGGGCAACAACCAGACTTACCTTGGTCTAGATTTAGGTCTGTTCGTAACTAATTTTAGCGATTGGACGGGTTTCGCTGGCAATGCAACTTGTTGATTTGCCGTTACAGTCAATAATCATTTTAAAATCCATTTAAACTAATCTGTTGTTTAAATGGATTTTAAAACAATAATTATAGATGCTACTAAAACAGTTTTCTGAGAGTTATTGCGTATATACAAGTGTGTAGAATAGAGTCGATAAAAATAGCTCCCCCATACCTAAAAATGTCTCAACTAATGGTGGGTTATATTTAAATAGAAATAACATTTGTACTTAAAATAAAAATAGAATGGTGCATTATTAATGAAACATTGAAAGAATCCTGTCCCTTTTTTATAGATAAGTGTATTTACCTTAACTGAGTATTTAAATATAACATTTTTAACGGTTTAAAACGCGAAATGTAATAGTTAACTTATTCACGCTTTCTTATAATTACAAAAGAACAATGACATTAGCGTCCACTAATACATATCGCGTTTCAAACTGTTAAAAGTGTTTTATTTATACGTGTACTAATCGCGTAGACTGTATAATACTTTTTAAATCCCGACATTATTTTTCTCTTCTTGTAGATTGTAGACATCGTTAAATTAAAATCTGTTTAAGTAGTTAAGTAATTAAATTTAAGTACTACACATGTCAGCAATGAGTTATTAGGTAGGCAAGTAGCATTTTTATGCACACATTCGCCATTAAAATGCCGCTTAACACTATTAATATGTAAACGCGGCAACATAGAAGCAGATTTTTACCAACACAAAATGTTTGTCAAATATTCAAGATACCCTAAATTGACTAACATTCTGCACCACACAAGATAAAACCTTTTTACTATAGAATTGTTTCTTATAAGGCGCGAGACTAGAATACTTCGAAAGTAGGTCGCAGTATTGACTTGAATTCATATAGATACAGTTCGTCGAAAAAATTAAAAGCTGATATTTTGAGTTGTACAGCAATTAACTGTTACCATATTAACAATGTTTTGTTAGTAATTAAGATTTTTATCTAACTACATACTAACTTTAAGGAATTGTTTCTTATTTTATATAAAGAAAACGCTTCAAATGCGAATTATGTTAGTTAACATATTTCCATTTTATTTTAAGCGAAATTCTTTGCAGCAGCCGTGGTTATATAATTATATTGTGTTTTAGACTTTAACTTCAAATATTAACAATTTTTAAAGTCACGTTTCATTTCTTAGTGTTACACGTCGCTGACTCAGCCAATGTTAATAATTTTGTTCACAAACCCGTCTAAATTATGATTAGTGGAAGGTTATATATTTTTTTCGATTTATACATAAATAATGAATCATTTTGTTCAGATGGGATCCCAAGCGACGCATCACACCGACGGAGGCGTCGCGACACGAGTTCGTAACTGGCTGTCCGCTTGGCGCGTCTTCCAACCTCCTGGCCTTACCTCGCCTGCCACCCCCCAGACCTACCAGGAGCGCCCTCCTCCACTCCCAATCGGCTGGCGACGTGGCAGCCATGTTGGGAAGAGCGTGACCTAGAGACAGAATGAGTTCTAGCGGCCTGCCATAACGCAACAAATACAATTCACATATAAAAATATGAAAAAAATTTCAACCCGCGACCGTACGAATGCTTTTGTTAAATTAATGATTGTCATATTTACATTCATAATACAGGATGGGTTCTTAAACGGCATTCTATTTTTTTTATCGGTCAGGGTTCAAACCTCGATTAAGAGTTATTTCTGTCTTTATGTGTATTTTGCGCTCTTTCTGTCTGTACTCTCAAATCCTCGTCCCCGTATTGGAATTTATTGCAAAGAAGACCCCAAATTACATAAACCGCCAAACCAAATAAAAAATGTCTTGCATTTGTACAGATTCTCTTACAACTTAGATCATATGAATGTAATAATTATATATACAAAAATTTAATTAATTTACATATGTTTATGTAGCTTTAAAAGTTGTAGTGAATATAGTGTTGTGGCCTAAGTGTTGAGAGATTATGATGTAACTAGATTTTTTATTTATCTATAATTATATCATATCTATAGACGTAATGTCGTTTCGAAAATGTTTCGGTGTCAAAGTAGGAATAGCAAAAATGATGTACAAAATATATCATCTTAGAATTATTCATACATTTATTTGGAATAAGACACTTTTAACGGCTTAAAACGTTAGCAGTTTGCTTATTTACAATTCTAGTTAACTACGGCCCGACGTTTCGAATGATTTACAGCAACCGTGGTCTGCTGTTTTGCCAAAAAATACCATCAGTCACTTATGCAGTTTCGCCAAATATCAACTACGGTGGAACAGATGGCGCTTGTGTAGCAGTTTTACTTGACATTAGAGACTCCCTATATCTACAGTCCCCTATGACCGCGGCTGCTGCAAAGCATATAAAACGTCGGGCCGTAGTTTAAAAACTTATACATTTCGCGGTTAAAATCGTTATAAGTGTTTTATTTAAAAATTCAAAGATGTTTTTAATCAATGCATGTATTAAACTTCGATCAATTTTTCGCTATCAGTGATTGTCTGCTGGTGATTAAGGATATTTTATTGTTTGAGCGATAGCAAGCGTTACTCTTAATAATATTACACAATTGCATAAAAGCGGTCATCACGATTCTATAGTGCAGTCCATCTGTTCCGCGCTAGTTATTCATAGTTCAGACATTCTGAACTGCTGCAAGATTTTATCTGGAATTACCTAATAATCTAGACTTTAATCTTAAGCTATCTAGTACTATTGCAGAATATATCCAGATATTGAAATGTACTTGCAAAGCATTAAGACCTATTGATATTATTTAACATTTGCGTGTGCGCAATTTTAAAAACGAAACGTGCAGCTTAGATGAGATATGTCTGTTTTGAGATAATGCATACTTTTCAATACGTTTAAAATGTTAATGTATTAGTTTTAGTCGATCTAAACATTGCTTTGCGTCTCTTTGGATATTCGGACAATAATAATATTAAAAGGTCGACAAAGGAAATTGTCCTAAACATAATGTTATATTATTTTTATTTATTGTTGTTTATTTAATAGACAAATTAAAATTGCCATATCGTACTTACATTATTTTGTGACGTGCCAAAATGGAGACTGATTTCCTTAGTCGCTTTATTTAGAGTTTGATTATTTAGTATTATTTAATACATTATTTAGTTGCTAGTAAACAAACGTTATGTGATAATTAGGTAGTTAAAAAACAGAACCCGAAAATAATAATACCTGTAGCTAATATAAATATGAAGCCGGTTAGTATTTATAAAAATACCAAGCATGCACTATGATCTAATAGATTTGAAATAATTTCTTTAAAAATGGGAATACAACAGACGCGTGACGTTACGTGAAAAATTATGAAATTTTCAATGTATACAAAATTCCGTATTTTTTTTTAAACACAAAGAGAGAATATTCGACCAAGTAGTTTTTATATATTTAGACCAATCCTGCTTTTTAGCCAAGTCTATTAACAAAAAACATCGATTTTGCGTAGTTTAATACCATTAAATTAAGTAGAATTTCATATCTTCTATACTAGTGTCTTAGATTTAGATGACAATGTACATAATTTAAAGATTAAAACAGATAGATGATCACTTTCTTTTAACCTTGACTACATACTGTTTATTATAGAAAGTTCACACAAACAATTTTATACATACCATGTAACTACTTATCATACTTTACAAAAACACACACATACACACACACAAAATCTTTTACAATGAAGAAAACCCATGTAACATAAACTCATGATATAATATTGAACAGGATTTATTATTTAAATATATGTTATATCAAATTAGTTTAGTTAAACAACGAATATCAATATCATTAATATCGGTTAGGATCTATGAAGGCTTGAAGACTGAGACTTCTAGTGTTGGATTCAAAGATCTAAGGCGTTTTTAACCAACTTTCGTAGAAACTTTGCTATTTGTTACTTTATACCACATAAAACATACCTATATAGATTTTTAGTGTTGTGTTAAATTCTATTATATAACTACGATAGCAACGTCCTTGTTAGTAAACGCGAATAAATAATTAAAATTTCATAACACAAGCAGGATTCGAACCGACTTCGGCTCTGCTATTCTAACAATATGTTTCCAATAGTCGTATGTATATATGTCTGTCAGAATATAATATGTCAAAAAATGTAAGCTTTCTATATATTTTGATTTAAAAATGTTACAGAACCAAAGAACCCGACTCTATATAACACATTAATATTGATTTCTAAACTGAACCTTCAAAAAAGTTTCTAACTAAAGGACTCAAAGCATATCTTAGCTGTGTTTACTTACTGTTTGCCTAAGGAATGTTACTGAAACCGGGGCCAGGCTACTTTCAATTAGAAGGGAGCGGTTTATGACGAAATATTAGATAAATAAGTTTAGAAAGATGCAAATCAACTCCGGGATAAACATAAGTATAGAAGGGATATCCTTCTTCACTGTACGTGGATTATCTTACTACTGTACTAGTTAACTAATATAGAAATAAATAAAACAATTAACGCGACGTACGGCACGACGCGGGAACCGGACGGGATGTTACGTTTCAAGCCGTTATAAACGTTCTATTTAAATGTGTACTACACGAGTAAACACAGGTGAATAGAATAAATCAACACAATACTAAATAAAAAAGAATATGAATAAAAACTTTTCAGTTTATATTAATAACTTGTAATTATAATTCTATATAGAAAACTTACTAAGCTTAGATGCATTGCCAAAAGACAATAACAGTTTTAGTAACATTCCAACTTAAACAAGCTGTTGTAGACTACTTTAAATTAACCGAAGACCTTGTCAAAATACTTTCGCCTTTTCTTATAAGAATGTGGAAAGTATTATGTAGCTGTATGCTAGTAATTATACAACTTTTATCATTTACAAAATCAATAATAATTCTCAATCTCTTGGGTGTCTTTATGCGATGCAAAATCAACCAATAAGTCTATGTACATTGTAGATATTAAAAATGTCGAAGATGTTAGAGTTATGTAATAATAGTATCAAATGTATGAAACTGTATTTATGTTTTGTTGGATGGTGGATAATAAAATTCTTCAAATCGAAGTGTACATTATTATCAAAGAACTATATTCGTAATTGTTTTCATTTGAAAACCGAATATTCCGTGCTGTTGCTCTAACTACGTCACGACACGGAAGCTCAATTGATTACAGCAACAGCATGAAATGCTGTGGAGGCCGGTTCAACTCCCGCACGTGTCGTAAACTTTTTTCAATCTAATATCTATTTTTTTTATTAGATTTATATAGCAATGTAACGCGTTGAACTCTAATTGAGGCGGATTTCAATTTGTCTAATATGACCTGATGAACAATAATAACATCGGTTTTAAACATTTGAATTGTGTCGAAAGTGGCAAGCCAAAATTATTGTAGCTAGTTGACGTCGAGAAAGACCTTGTTGTGTCCAAATCCCTAAACCTACCCCAAAGTTTGAAGGTTTATGCTTGACCATGCCAAAGCCTGGGTTTGGCAAGGATAACTACGTACGTGTTGTGATGGATTACGTTGTGTCTCGTCAGAAGAATTCAAAGCATATTGTTTCAGTGCGAAGGGGACAAGTTTAAGAACTATGAACTCTAAATATCTTCTAGAAGCTTCAGAGCATAGAATATAAACGTAAACGTGACGTCACAATTCAACACCTCAGACAAATATCCTTAATGGACATGATGTAATTAACTTGTTAATATAAATTTAAAAAATTCAAATTTTGCCATCAATATTAATGATATTGAAAAAAATATAAGTACCTACCGTTAACGTTACAACACAAAAATTGTACAATAGTTAAAAGACTCTTCACATTTAATATTAGGACTATTGTGGTGATAAGGCGAGTTAATTGTAGCTTATTTTATGAGTTTCATCAGATATAACCTGCAAAAAGTATATACAGATCTTGATATATAAAAATTCCCATACATTTCTAAGAATACAACAGGCACTTGCAAAATTAAATCTTATTCACAACAGACAAAGCTCATAATACTGTGCACAACATCTGTGTAAAATAACAATTTAAGATCTTAAGAGTGTTAATGTGTTGAGTGATTCTTGAAATAGTTGAGTAGTACAGTCAGTGAAGTAAAGTTTGATAATATATAAAAAGGGATAAAACTTGTGTTAGCTTACATTTTAAACGATTATTAGAAAACCCTACGGGGCATGGGGCGAGTACATTTCTTTGTTCGTTATACTGGTTAATTTTATTAAAAGTAAAGTTGATTGATATGTACTTGAAATTAATATCGTAAACGCACATAGCGTTTTATCTTTATCCTAGACAATACGTTTATCCATTAAACTACACAGGCGAAACAATTAACTTAAAGATTTTAAATCTCGTGAAATGTATTTTTTAACAAATTACTGTTTCAATTTAACTATGGCCCGGCGTTTAGCAATTTTCCTCTCTACTCTCACGAGCATATCTAGTGCGAAGAATTCGAAACGATGG